CATTAAACAATAAGAAAGCAAAGATAAGAAAGCAGCAACAAATAAAGTAAAGAAAGGAGCGTGAAAACCAAAGATACCTGATAACTTGTTATTTGGCATGATTTTAGGGTACTTTTGAACCTTGTTTTCGTTATTAATCGACATCAAAGTTCATTTTTTATCCTATTTTTATGCAAATTTTGTACCATCCATGCTTCACCGGTTGTTTGTGTTTTTGATGTAATGTAGCTATTTTTAGCACTATGGACATGATCAAGCATGAGTGAGAAAGGATAAGGGCAAGCTTGGTTGATAGATCCATGGAGGAAGAAGGAGGAATGCCTTAAAGGGAAATGAAAAGCTTTTGGAGAACCTTGAAAGGTCGTTTGCGTAAGCGTCAACTTCAACCAACCATAACTTTTGATCTTATCAACCTTTTGAAGCGATTCAAATTGGAGATTAAAGTTCGTCTCAAGAGCTTTCCAACGACTGGTCACAAGTCCATTTCCGACAAGAAACGTAGAAGTTACAGCTTCCCAAAGTTAAGCAGTCTAGGCAGGGCATCCTGCACGGACGTGCAAGATGATAGCACGTCCGTGCAAGTCTGCACGTCCGTGCCAAAAGCTGCACGTCCATGCAGACCTTGGCAGAAGCTTCTGCCTCCATTTTGGCCCTCCTGCACGTCCGTGCTAAACTTGGCACGGCCGTGCTTAGCCTTGCACGTCCGTGCCAAATCTCGCACGTCCGTGCAGACCTGCAGTCGAACTCCTTCCTTGTTTTCTCCGTCCTTTTTATTTGGGGGTCATATAAATACCCCTTTAGAGCTCATTTGTACGGAGAGACAATTTTTTTTAGAGCTTTCCTCTTAGTTTGTAGTCTTAGAACATTAAATTCTCAAATCATTAGTTAGTTCTTAATTTTTAGCTTGGAAGCATTCAAATTCAATCATTGTAGACAAAATCCACCATTGTTGCTCACTTTGAAGCTTCATAGTAACCATTTCTTACTCATCTTTTCTACTTCTCTTTACTTTGTTGTTGATTACTTGCTTAATTCTTGCATGCTTAGATTGTTAATTAGCTTAATCCTTAGTTTGAACTTGTTCATGAATTGCTTGAAACCTCTAATTGCTTTAACCTCCATGGATTGTGAGTAGTCTAAATTCTAGGGTTTGGGTAAAACCCTCAATGTAGTCACTAATTACTTGTTGCATGTGCTAATTTGGTTGTTGTGGGATGATGATTAGTTGAGCTTAAGTGGTTTAATTGCTTAGTTCTTGTATATGGCCATTGCTAGAACTATTTATCCAAGCTTTCTCAACGAAGGATCGAGAGATGAACTTGAGTTAGCTCCCTTATGCTTAATTGACCCGAAATGCCATGAGAATAGGGATTACCGGTCAAGGGAATGTTTATGTCATCGTGATTATGCTTTAACACTTGTTTTATGCTATGTAACCACGAGAGTAGGTTGTATTCACGATTCAAGTAATCCCTCTAGCTTGAGAGAGTAGTTGGGTGCTTTAGATGACTTCCCCTAATTTGTCCCATTAGTTAACCTTGATTGTAGCATGCTAATTGTGATTTGTGATGAAGTTGAGTGGTATAACCCGAGCCCTAGATTCCTCTTAATATTGTTAATCTCCTCTTAGCTTTAGTTGAGTTGAATTAGAAGAAGTTACTCAAAACCAACCCAATTTAGAATTCATTTAGCTTATTTAAACGGTAGTACTCGGTGGTTGATTCAACGCCTCTCTTGGGTTCGACCCTTTCTTACCCTTACTATTGTTAGTGAGACCAAGATAGGAATCATTATCTTTGGTAGGCTCGATGACGGCCTATCAATACCCCAAAATCTTATTAAGGTTCATCTTCAACAATATCATCCGAAATTCAAGCAAATAGAAGATGAATTTCCATCTTAAATTTTATCTTTCCAACCTAGAAAATCATGGGAGGCCGTTGTTTTTGGCTATAAAAACCCCAAAACAATCATCTCAGAGGACACACAACTTAGCCAATAATTATACAAAGAGTACGAGAGTTCGAGTGAGTCCGTAATTGGGCAATTGGTGAAGAGAAGATAGCCATTGGAGGGCAGCTTAGTCTCGAATCCAAGGTAGAACAAGAACAAAGGTGAATCGCGGGGTCGAAGCCGGGTTTATTCGGGTGTTCTTCAGAGTATATTTTATCAGTCTTCTTCTGAACTTATTTGTTCAATACTACTGATTTATTTGATGTTCTTTGCTAAATTGATGAAGTACTTTTATTGGATTATTGATATTATAATTGATTCTTGATAGTATTATTTTTTCGATTTAATGGGTATTTGAAATTTGCTCGTTCTTGATTATTAAATTTGCAATTGGACATTGATTGTTATCTATCATGTTATTAGTTGTGAATTATTGCTATCTATATGATTTGGCTTAGTTAGAATTATATAGTGAAGTAGTATCTAATTTTTATCGAGTCTGCGATTATGGTTTGGTTTAAATCAGAGGGCATTTTCAATCTAATTATTCTAAGCATTTATGTGATTAGTTTAATTAGGACTAATGAGGTCTCCTAGTTGTTAATGCTTCCGTATCTAACTCATGCAAGTTGCGAAATATTTGTGTTAATTAGATCGGTTTAGAGTGAATTTCGGCTTAGTCCAAATTTGGTTTCAAGTAAGGGAGATAGGGAGTCTTTGTTACTATAGTCTCTACGATTAGTCTAATCGTTAAATTGAGTATTTTGTAGAGTCGGTCAATTGTTGTTATCAATAGTTTAGTATGAGTAGTGCCGAAGTGGAATTGGTTAGTTGTGTCGTCAATAGTAGTTTATTAGTTTAGTTCCGTATTAGTTTTATTAGTTTAGTATTATCTAAAACAAACCCCCCCATTCTATGTACATATGTGAATAAATGTATAGTATGTAAATTTCCGTAATATATCTAGTTAAACCTTGATTAAAGAGTTAAAAGTCTCCTCGTGGGATCGACCCTTGCTTACCCTTTTACTAGTTGATAATATTTTTGAAGGTTAAGTTAGGAAAATAAATATTTAATTTTATACGGTAAACGACACGTATCAGTTGTCATAAATGTTCGTAGTAGGTTTGAGTTAATTAAATCGGTGCATGTTGTAAACTAGTAAATTGGCCGTTTAAAGGCAAATAGGATGGTTCCACCCACCCAATTGGATTCCCGGAGGATATAGGGACCATAGTAACATTTCAAAAAAAATTATTTCCGGGCAAAAGAAAGTAAAAAAAATCCAAAATTGAAGGCTTATATCTAAGTTTTTTGAGAAATTTTGGAGGTTTTAGAGCCCGGTGTCGAAAAGCCTTTAGATTTTAGGGGATATATCTTGGGTTCATATAATGCCGTTTGGGACCATGTATGATCATTATATGATGTCATAAATGTTTTTTGGTAGGCTTGAGTTAATGAAATTGACGCAAGTTGTAAACCGGTAAATTGGTCGTTTAAAGGCAAATTAGATGGTTCTACCCATCCAATTGGACTCCCGGAGGGTATTAGAGACCATGGTAAATATTTCGGCAATTTTTATTTTGTTAATAACAAGTCGTGTTGATTTCGAGTCGGGTTAGTAACAAATCGGGTTGAATTTTTTGGTCGGGTTAGTAATAGGTTTGGTAAAATTCGTATCTGGTCAATAACAAGTCGGGTTGAATTTGGGTCAGGTTAATTTCAAGTCGGGTTGATTTCAGGTCGGGATTGTAACAGAATGAGTTAAATTCGGGTCGGGTTAGGAACGGGTTGGGTTGAATTCAGGTCAGGTTAGTAGCAAGTCGGGTTAAATTCGGGTTTTGACGGGTTAAAACGGGTTTGGGTCAATTTCGGTTCAAGTCGGGTTTAGTTCAAGTCAATAACTTACGGGTTACATTCGGGTCGGGTCATCTCCACGTCACTTCATGTTCGGGTTCGGGTCTCACATACTCGGGTCAACCTGGGTCTAGGTTTGGTTTAGGTCAGGTTTGGGTCACCATTTTTTCGGGTTCAGATGGTTCGGTTAATAATCGGGTTTAAGTCGGTATTTCGGATCGGGTCAACTTTTGACAACTCTCTCTCTCTCTCTCTCATTGAGTTGTAAAGCTTGTGAGAGATTCGAACTTGATTTAATTAATTGTGTGTTCAAAATCCAACTTGAATTGAGTTGACTTCAAACTTTAGTAAGTACAAGATGACGAGAGCAAGATTTAGCTTGACTTGAGAAGCTCGCGACAACTCGATATTTTTATTATATTTTTTAAAGATAAATTAGTATTGTTATGTTAAGTACAATTGTTAGTATTGTTTGTTCCACATTGAAAAGAAGCGGACTACTCTTTTTTTTTTTATCAATTAGTTTTAGGATGAAACATCGCTTTGGGCTTTGAATCTTTGATAGTAAGTTTTTGGGTTTCTCTCCCTCGTCACTCCTCCTCCATTTATTATAACAATAATTCCCCATTCGTTATAACAATAAGGCATGAAACAACCTAACTATGACACATCCATCATGAGCGTATAGTTTTTGATGCTCTACCGCCAATAGTCAATACTAGACACAAGGACGGATGAATCAAACTTTTTTTTATTGGAACATTCTAATTACATTCTTTCATTTGGACTTTGTGTTGTCGTATATCATTAATACAATTAAAATCCATAATTTTTATTAATTTTTCAAATGTTACATTGTCTTGTGTCACTATAAAGTCCGTCAAAAAACAAAACAAGTGACTGAATGAGGCGGCCAAGTAGCTTTGGGACGACTAGTTATTCCAGCAAGAGGCAGGTACCTTCTTGTATAGTTAAAACGAGCAACGACTTGTATATTTTAGCTTTGAGCAAAAACAGTTGGGTGAATGATATAATCAAATTTTAATCGTCGCCTTTTCAAGAATCTCTTCATGTACCCGGCAGATTAAGGGAGGGGGCAGCCGATATGTTCACAGCCGCATGCACCTAGGTATATGGCCAAAGCCTTGCTTCACACAAAAACTTCAGTTTCAAAACAAAGAAAACTTGCTTGCTAACATTGCCCCATTCCACACATTCAGTTTATATCATCATTCATCCAGTTTTAAGCCAAAAGGATCACTGCACTGATATGTACACTTCTTGCTGGAGTATCTCCAATGTACTTAGGATACAAGCATTAAAAGCAAAATAAACCTCATATGGATTTGGGAGGAATATTAATCCTATTAGTTAAGATTACTACTATATTAGTACCTATGTCATCAGTTGTCATATCTATTTGATTGATATGTAGCGATTGGTGCCGTGTTTAGACCAGCGATCTTTTAAATCCACAAGATTAGAGAAATCAAAACCCTCGGATGCTAGCCCACTTAGCAACTTTGAGAAGGCACTTCCACTCATTTTCCGACCACTTAAACGAGCAAATCTCTTGTTAGGGACAGGTGGGAGAGGATAAGCTGACATGGTAGTCGTACAGCAAGATGACTGCCAACCCCCATTCCCCCACTTGTAACACTGCCGAAATATCCCCGTACATGAGCAACCAGGGGCTGGCATAATGGTGTCATCGTAGTCAACTCGATTCAAGCCCACATTTTGACCATCCCAGTCATTCTTCACCTTCAAGTGATCAGAAGTCTTTTTCTCCCTCGGCTTCCTTGCACATCTCTTGCTCTCCTTCACCTTCTTTGTCTGAGGCAGCTTGTTACATTCAGATGGAACTGCAGTTCTGCACAAAGCATCAAGTAATTGCATTTGTTGAGTGACGAAAGGGAGATCAGCCAACCTACTGGTTCCACATTGAACTCCAGGACTCAAGGGTTGCCTCATAGAATTTTGAAGGGTATGGTAGGCATTGTTTCTTTCTGTAATAGCTTCATCACGTTCTTTGATTGCCAAGTTTCTCTGTGAGACCGCTAATTCTCGCTCTTCCAAGGCCCTTTTCTTTTCAAGCAAAGCTATTTTCATTTCCTCAACAGCAGCATCTCTCTCAGCCATGATGTTCAAAAGGTTCCTGTTCATAGTCAAAGCATTCTGCTCCTTAATCTGATGCTGGTATGCAATCATATTCCACTGTAATAAAAAAGAGATGAGTGTAACTACAGCATTACTTTTCAAAACTTGCATTCGTCCAAACTCCTATTTCAAGGAGGGGAGACTGGAAAATTTAAGAGCAAGAGAGATCTAGTTATGGTTGCTTACCGGAGAATGATCCCTGAAATCATCACACCTACGTCTTGCACCTCCTCGCAGCCCCCCAGCATCCATAGAAACCAGATTTTGTTATTGCTAACCTGAAATTAGCAAAGTTATCGCTAACCTGAAGTAGTTTGTTTCAAGGAAGAAACCAGATTTTGTTGCAGATTACTGATACACACCAGCATTTTAACAAGAAAAATATAGTGGTAAGATTCAAAAAATATAACTACAACAAAAGAGCAAATCAGGAAGAAAACTTTGTGTAGCCAGGTTTTCCACATTTCATTGGTTCAAAAAGAAAAAAAAAAAAAAAAAACACCCTTATGTTGAGGGCACAACAGTTAAATTTCCAAGCTAGGGATGTGTTTAATTCAGAGGAAAATATTTTAAACCAAATTTAACTCCTGTGGAAAGTTAGCTCTATGAAATTAGGTTACAAACTTCAATTTATTTGCTTCTTAGCTTCCTTGCCACATAAGGTACATAGAAAAGGGAAAAGAGTACATGGAGCAATGGAGGGAGGAGCTAGGGAGAAAACCAGAAAAATGTGGCAATTCTTCCTTGGAAAAGGAAAATTGTTTCCACCTGAGGGAAATGAAATAGTCAACCAAATCTAATGGTTGTCAACCCCATAAACTAAATGGAAGAATATGGGGAAACCAATTTTCCTGTAAGAAATTTCCTCTCATCAACAGTCTAGGTGTGCAAGTTTTTTTTTTTCTTTCCTAGCCTACAAATTTATGCTTCAATTGGGCATGCCATTTTTATTAAAGTGATACGGTCATTCTTCATCAAATTAACATCTCATGCTCATCTAATAAGAAACCTTAAACCTATCTTAGACTAGCTTCCACTTGGTAACCAATGGCAATATCTTAGACTAGCTTCCACTTGGTAAAGCAAACCTATCTTAGACTAGCTTCCACTTAGTAGTCATTATGAATTATCACAGGACAGAGAACTTCAACATGTTAGACAATACATACACTTAAATGATGAAATTCTAACATATGGTCTTGACTCTCTTGAGCACCTGCTGTCAACCTGGATACCTAATCTGATGCCTCAGTTGGCATAAGCAACAATAACTTATGTTCTACCACTGGATATTGTATAGATTCGAAATGGTAAGAAAATTAAACAAAGGAATAGAGGTAGGCAAAAGCAGCAATGACTTCATAAAAATGTTATTAAATATATGCCGACCTTGCATATTAACATCTTACTGTATACAAGCAATGACCACACTTTTCGGAAAAGAGATAACATATTGACTTGACTTAGATGTCAAAAACAATAATCTTGTAACAACTAACTCATTTTTCTATTTTAAATAGCAACCTCTTGCAACTAAATTAGACTGCCATAATATTAGCTTCACATCTTTTGGTAACACAGTACAGAATCCAGGGACCCAGTAATCAGTGAAGACCAGTGTAATTATGAAACAGCTCAAAGAAAGCATGACACTGATAAATAGGCATTGAGAAATTCATGGGAGTACTTGTTTTAAATCACTAGGGGGAAAAAAACAAGTCAAGGGAAAAAACAGATGAAAAACTCAGTACAAGATCACAGATATCAGGGAGGCAGGGACTATTAGAACAGTAGATAGTTTAGAGGGGGGAGCATCTGTTTCGGACTCGATGAATCAATCAAAAACCTCTTTGAGACTACAAAAGCTATCGGGAGTGAGGTGAAACAGTGGATCTTGCAAAATTCATTGAAGAAACATTTCAGTCCAACTCAAACTTCGGACAAAAACTATTTTGTGATCGATGACCAACAAAATTCCTTTTTCTCCTAAATCTAATATGGAGAAACCAGCCAAAATTCTACTTTTCTTAAAATTGCAATTTCCACTCTAGTTACATAGGCTGACTGAGTGACTAGTAGGAAAAGTTGTCAACTTTGTCATGCTCTAGAGTCTAGACCAGATATTACCAACAACTAACAAGTTAATAACTTCTACTCGTAAATTAATTACTTTCTCCGTCCTATAATTACACTCGATAATTTATGATTATTATATAATCATGGAGAACAACAAACATCTTATTAAGATACTAAACAGTCAATTTATGGCAAATTCATTATTATATAACCTACTCATAACATCTTATTAAGATGAGAATGGGTAAAATTATAACCTAATATCTTGCAACCTCTGAACATAGAAATATGTCCTATTAGTGGGACGGATAAAATTAATCAGAGTACAGAACATTTTGTAGATAAAATAACTAGTCCAACAAAGTTCATTGTCAATAACATCAATATATTATGAAAAAATCTAAAATTCTCTACTACTAACAAAATTTCTAGTAAAATCACATAGAAATTACCAAAAAAATTCCCTCTTTTTGTTCTTTCAAACCCATGTTCCTTGATCGTACCCAACCACCCACATTGCATTTCTACTCCAACATATTAATGAAAGTACAAAAAAAAAAAAAAAAAAACAAAAAAAAAAAAATCAAAACCCTAAAAAAATTTAGTATTTTTGGCAACAAAATCTCAAAATAAAACCACCCAATTACTCAGTTTGTGCGTTATTGTTTTGGGTAGGAAAGATACAACAAAATATTGGGTAATTTAAAAACATTAAATGACATGCAAAAAGAGAAATTGAAAAGGACACAAATAAATTATTCAAGAAGAATGACAATAATCAAATAATTTTGTAAGGAAAATTCAGAAGAAAGTGACATATAATTATGGAAGAGAAGAAGAAACTCACCAAAAAATTCTTTAAAAAAGAATGAATGATCAAAATTACCACATTTAAGAAGCGCAGCAGTAAAAACCCTTGCTGAGAAAGTTAGAGAAAGATGAGTAATTCTAAAAGCGCAGCAATTTGTGTTTGGTAGGACCGTGGATTTTCTTACTTGTATAATTGTGTTATTGTACAAGTATACTTCCCCCCCCCCCCCCCCCTTTTTTTTTTTTTGGGTGTTGTTGTTGTTAATTGTGGTAAAAATGTTAGACAACTTGAGGAAAACGGTTTCATACTCTTCCATAATTATCTGATCCGAATTATTTCAATTGCATTAAATGGTGCCGTAGAAAGAGTAAGAATTTGACATAAATCAAAATCAATTTAGGGTCTGTTCTCTTACATTGAAATTTAATTTAGTTTAGTTTAGTTTAGTTCAGTTCTGTTCATTTCAGTTCAGTTCAGTTCAGCTCAGCTCCTAATTTCCTTCTCTTATAAAATATTCAGTTCAGTCAATGAGAATAGGTCCTTACTCTATTAGATGACAATTAGTTTACTCAATCAAAATTGGATAAACAAAAAAACAATTAGTTTACTTTTCTTTCAAAAAAAAACAAAAACAAAAAAAAACAAAAAAAACAATTAGTTTACTTAAGTTGACTTCAATGACTTGGGTCATATTGGTGTATCAAGGTCTTTGGGGTGGGGGTGACACAACTCAGTTCCAATTAAATCGTGTCAGTCAAACCCATGTGTTAAGCTTATCGTGGCGTCTCGTGTCATGTTGGCTAACAGTTTTTCCTTAGGTGTATGTGTGTTGGTTCATGGGTGGCAATTTTGCTTCATGAAACTCATTTGTATAGGCCAATTGCAATATAAATCTAGCGAGTTAACATAATATATCCATGTTTTGAACTTTTTCAAATAGTTCGCTCTTAAAGTTCTTAACAACTTTAATTGACCATTTGTGTACCGCTAAACCATTTCCAATTTAGGAGTAGCAAAATTCACAATCTTTGTACCTAATAAAGTTTTCATTCATCAATTTGGGATGCGCAAAAATTATTGTCGAAAGTTACTAACTTTGTAGATTAAAGTCATACTAGTAACATTCAAGACCTATAATTAAATTTTGACTACATAATCATTACAATGTACACTCTTTCTCAGCCAAAATGTAATTCCTTACAATATCACTTACAAACTAACGCTCCAAATTAGGCCTAATAATAAGTCAAGTCAACTGAGCTTTTGGGCAGAACTGCGTTCTCTGAGTAAAATATTCTAGTCAAATTGGATAAAAAAATATCAAACTCTACTCCTATGCCATATTGAGTCAGTTTCGATGGGTTCGCCTAGTAAAGAACAAAGGAAAATTCTGGTCTCTAGGGCGAAGTATTCCAATTGAGTCGGGTCAAAAATGATCCAACTCTTTAGTCTTTACACCCCCTCATCACAAACAAAGTGTCTCTTCACTCTCCATCATTATTCATTCATACGTTTTCGTTTTCTTTTCCCCTCTCATTGAGTCAATTCCCTCAAAAACTAGAGTAAAGAGTACTCGAGCACATGTAGTGATGTAGCTTTAACTAAGGTACCCCTAAAAAAAAAATCAAAAACAAAAAATACCCCTTAATTTGCTCTTGCCCCAAGCTTTGTATCTTGTTCATCCCACCAAAAATCATCAAAAACTGAGTCTTTTGATAGTTTGCAGTGCAAAAAACTATTGGGTAATCCAATCTGTAATTGGGTTTTTTTGGGCAGAGAGATTTAAGGTGAAAATGGAGTTAGAAATTGAAAGATTACTAAGAATGGCATGGTTAGCATGGATTTTGCCCATATTAATTGTTTCATTTCCATCTTCTCATCTCAATTCTCTGCATCATATTCTTCTTGTGTGTGCTGGTCGTGGCAAAATCTGCAACTCATCTTCTCGTCTCAATGTAATCCTTCCTTCTTCTCTTTAATTACTGTATATTTAATTTCAATTTCTGGATTTGATTGAATTTAGTTCGTTTGAAATTGCAGTTTATGTTCTGGGTTTTAATTTTGTATCATTAATGTTACAACTTTAGGTTTATGTTCTTTGTATATTTATCAAGTGGGGTTTTTTCAAAATTTTATTTCAATTGTTTGAGTTTAATTTGATACTGCTTTTTTCTTTTAATTTGGATTGATTAGATGCCCGTTTGTTTGCCTTGATTTAAGGGTTTTTACATGGTTTAAGAATTGGGTACCCCAAATAGAGATTGATGGAACACTTGCTTATGTTATTAGATGAACTTTAGTTATTAGTGTGTAGAGAGTCGCAAAGGCAATGATGTTGATGGGATATGGGTACAGATATCACCCCCACGTGACTTTACTAACTAAGTTTGTTGACATCCACGTAATTGGATTAACTATGATTGATGTAGGATCAGCAATAGATAGAAAATGAGGAGCTGTTGCGTAATGCACATTAAGTTGTTCATCTATGTCAAGGGGATAGTGAAGAAAACCTGGGTTTTATTGTGGTCAATCATCGTCTTAGAGATGAAGCTACATTTCCTAGATGGGATTATTACCTTTGGAGCTGGAGTTGGTAACTCCTGAAGTGAATAGTGATCCCCTATCTCAGTTGGAGCTCATAATTTTAATGGGAAGCAATAGTTAATGTGAGTACTAATTTATATTTGAGTCACTGTTTTTGCAGAGGTTTCTGCTTGAGGAATGTGAACTGAACTTCTAAACTTCTGATTAATAATTACCATATGATATCAAACATAGCTAGAAATGGCAATGTGTTTTGTATATATCAAGCATAGCTAGATATGGCAATGTGTTTTGTTGAATCCTTACTATCACATTTGTTGGCTTGACCATTTCAGTTTAATACATGTATGAAATATGTTTATTTGAAAGCATGTAACCTCTTTTCTTATGTTATAGATTGGTTTTTTATTTATGGAATTCATCTTTCTAACATGAGCCCTTCTATAACTTGTAGAAACTTACAGTGCCGCAGAAATTTTTCTCTCATTTCTATGTGTTTGCTGTAATATGGACATCATTTTTGCTTCTTGCAACTTGGGAATATGCACATAAAATTGGATCCTTGGTTTCAGAAGCGACATCTCACTCTACTGTTGCCAGTTACTTGACTGGAGGCTCACACATTTTTTCCATTTATAAAACACAATCAACTTCACTGGAGCACAACTACAGAATTTGGCGATCCGTCTTTCTTCTTATTTTGATGGAATTTCAAGTGTTGCGGCGCTTGTATGAGTCACTATATGTGTTCAACTACAGCAGTACAGCCCAAATGCATATCTGCGGATATCTAACGGGTTTCTTGTAAGATGCTCATACCTAATGTGTCAAAGCTCCCTGAGTTGAATAGCCATCTTATTCATGATACTCTTATCTGCCTGCTTCAACTGAGATTTTGTTGGCTTAGTAAATAAGTATTGCATTTATGCTTGGTACAATACATAATAGGAATAACACACAAGAATGCTTATCTGTGCTATCCCTGGTAAATGATGAATTTTCTGGATGTGTTAGTGTTTTTGTCATTTTGTGTCAATTCTGTTTAACTGTCTTTAATATTAATATCTGCAGTTGCCTCTTTTCTGATCCGAGACTTTCATTGTAGTTTTGGTAAATTATTTCTTAGCTGTGCTCAAGGTTTGTGCATAAGCTATATGATTGCTTAATAAACTGCACAATTTTATGCCACCAATAATGAGGATGATAGGATATAGAAAGACCTTTGACATGACATATCCTAATTCCGCACTTGAGTGACTATAAAAAGCTGGACTTGTTATCCAATAATAATAGGGGACCAGTTTGCTCCTGAGTTGTGTTTAAGACTTGCTTTGCACTTTAGAATGTACATGGAAGTAACTTTGCTAAGACAAGTTTTTCTGTAGGCCATTGTTAGCTTTTATGTTTGTTAAACAATTTGATGATTGATTCAATTAACTTGAGACACACATTGTCTTTGCATTGGTTGTTTATAATTACAGTTCAACAGATTGAGATGTGCTTTACAACTGTAATTTATTTCATATTAACTTTAAATCGACTGCTCTTTACCTTACATGATTTAATTTTGTGTTTAGTTTTTACACGGCTGCACCACTGTCCCTTTGCTGCAATTGTGCACCTGAAGTATTTACATTTGTAGCAAACAGAGTTGCTGAATTTATTGTGAAAGGAAAAGAACACATGCCACCTGTAGAATTTCAATGGTTGGAGTTTCTTAGTCCTCTACTGAAGCTTGGTTGGTTTCAATGGATTGGAGCAGTAATTTTTTTCTGTGGTTGGCTTCATCAGTGTCGTTGTCATGCCATTCTTGTGAGTATTGCTTTTTGAAATTTCCAGCTGGCCTGAAAAAGAGATATTGAGATTTGCTAACTCATTATTACAGTAGTTTGCTTGAGATTCGTAGTATTTGTTCTAATGACAATTAGCAAGTTTTTCCCTAGCTAAATAAGTGGGAAAAAAATAGTAACAACATTAGTCCTCTGTATACTAGACCATAATATTCAGAATTGGCTTAGCTTAATTATTTTGATGATTCACGTATGCTTCTCTCTTCCAATGTCATAGCTCTTATTCCATCGTAAATTTTAAGGTACAGTGCTGTGAGTTTCATCACAGGTCTCCATGTGTCTTCGACTATTCGGGGAGCCTTATGATTATATCTATGGGGTCAATTCTGTAGGCTGTAGGGATTTCTGACATCTTGGCTTTCTGGTTTTAGTGATTAGAGGACAGTCTATTTCTTGGATTATTTGCCATGCTATTAATAACCCATTTACCCTTAATTCTGCTTATTAGACTATTAGTTGTCTTGTGTTTGGTTTACAAGCTTTCTGTTGAAGATGGTGAGTGTTATACTAATGCGAAATTGCTAATAATATATCAGGGAAATCTTCGAGAAGTGAAGGAACAAGATAACGATTATCGAATTCCTCATGGTGACTGGTTTGAAGTTGCCTCGTCTCCTCATTATCTTGCTGAGATTGTAATGCTTCTTCTCCTCCATCAACCCCCTCCACACCCCCCCCCCCCCCACACACACACACAACACACACACAAAGCCACTAAAGTAAGATTTGCAATGTTTCATATGTTCTCCTTGGTAACTCTTGGTTGATTTATCATGAAGGTTATGTATGCCGGTCTTGTGGTTGCTAGTGGAGGCCTAGATCTGACAGTGTGGTTAATGTTTGCATTTGTGGTAATTCCTCTTACCTTGAATGAAATGCATACAGAAAAGCAATTGACATTTTACTTGGTGTCTATATCTGTAATAGCTAAGAAGGTCTAATGCACTGGTTTGTGGCAGATGGCTAATCTTGTGTTTGCAGCAGCAGAGACACACCGGTGGTATAAACGCAAATTTGACAACTATCCAAGCAACCGCTATGCAATTATTCCCTTTCTTTATTGACAGTTATCGGTGCTACGTTTGTACATATAACATTATAACCTGAAAAATGCCTGATTCATCTGTTGTAACTCTCATTTAGAGAAAAAAAGTATACAAATTTGTTCACTGATTCTGAACTTCATGTATAATTTTTGCCCTGCGGCTCACATTAAAATGGCAATACTGAGATGGTTAAGATTCGAAACATTATACTTTACACTGCTTCGATTGCTTTCTGCCTCGTTGTAGATAAGTGATCCCTAAGTTTAGACAGGGGGAGTGGCCGAAGGGGTCATAATGTCATGTGTACACTATTTTGAGATTTTTTGGGGAAAAAGCCTCGTTTCTACAAACAAGAGAAATTTTGGCTTATGCAAAAAGTATTAAAAATCAACTTTTCAAGTTTTAGTTAATCTCGGTGAATTATTTATATGTGAGGTTAGGACATAGTGACCAATCTAATATATATATATAATGGGGAGTTTTTTCCCGAGTTTTTAGAGAGCCACGTAGGTTCTAATTTTCCTAGCGCGCAGATTATAAATCTTAATAGTAGTCAATTAAATAAGAGATTATTAATTTCTTTTTAGAATTAAATAATTCAAATGTCATGTAAGCAAAATTGGCGAATGAGATTAGTTAGTATTATATACTCCAAATATGTTTGAGTTATTTTGCGTACACTTTTTGTTATTTTGCTTAAATGTTGTGTTATTTACTTATTTTGTTACAACAATATGTTATTTACTTATTTAATTCAACCTCCATTCATGCTATTTTTAATTTACAAAATAACAAGTACTTATTTATAAATAACATGTATATAAATTGAAATAATAATAAGTTTTACATCAAAATAACATTAGCAGCTTTGAGTTTAAAGAGAATCGAACACTTCAAGAGGTATTAAATTTCTTGACATGAACACATTTGAACCCTTAAATGGCTTCAAATCAATTAATTTCTAAGAAACCCTGAAAATTGGAAGAAGAAAAGAGGAGAGAGAAAGTGTCTTTGATTTAGAATTGGAGTAGTGAGAGGAAGAGAGAGAGTGAGAGGTTGATTTTTGAGAAACCCAGAAAATTGGATGAAGAAGGGAAGAGAATGTGTGTGATTTTGAGTTGGAGTAGCTGAGAGAGGAAGAGAGAGTATGGGAGGAAGATGACTGAGAAAAAAGGCAAAATAACATACATTTATTTAAAAATAACATATATATAAATTGAAATAATAAGAAGTTAATATCAAAATAACATGAATTTATAAAATCTGGAGTACCATGTGCACGGTACTCCAGGAGTAAGATAGAAATTGCGCATAGTGACAATGGAAACTTGATAAAAACACTAATAACATACGATGGCAGGTATGATAATTCGCATGCCAAAAGCAGTGAGCTATATAAGTTCAGAGTTTCACAGATGTGCAAAGTTCTTTATTTATCTTAGCTACAACTGATACTTCCATGCCATGAAGCAACAAAGGGACTATAATTGGAATCAATCATTAAGCATAGACATGTCCCTTTAATAGGTCCTAATGTCTTGTTCGTAACTGAACACTTCAGCTTCATGCATACAAATCTATTCCCCAGAACTTGGCTGGTTGATTGGTCCGGTACTTACGATCCATGCTTTTGATCTGTTCCATGTCTTCTTCAGTCAGCTCGAAATCTAGAACTTGAAAGTTCTCCTTCAATCTATCAAGCTTGGATGACTTTGGTATGACAATTGTATTGCGCTGAATCCCCCATCGGAGAGAAATCTGAGCTGCTGTCTTTTTGTGTTTCTCCGCAAGACCCTGATCATAAAGGAACAAGATTAGATGAGTAGTAGCCAACCAGATTCCAAGTGAATTATATTTGATGTTTACCAAATCCTTCCTGAAGAAAGGACATAACACCTGATATTCTATGATCTTGTCTCACAGTTAGTTGTTGTCTTTGCAAATATTGCAGCCAGGTATTTGAGAGTTGAGACATTTTGTAAAGTGGAACTTTAAATCATTCTATAAAACTCACTCTAGAAATCCTCTTTGCAGGAGACAAAAAAGGAAAAAAAAAAAAAAAAGAAGAAAAAAAAAGGGATAAAAAGCGGTCTCAAACAATTCTTTTTACTGCCTAAGCCTTTGAAGAACTTTCTTTCCGCAATATGGAAAATATTGACACGACTCCATTATGAAACTGGATGCATAAGATTTTTTTTAATATTGCTTGATGCCTATAGAAAAAATAAGACAATATCTGTATAAGAACAGAGAGAAACTACCTTTAGAACTGGATCATCCAAGCAAGATACTGTCCCAAACCATTCAGTGTTAGCAGCTGCACCTCCTAGAGGAGTATGGGCGGTAACACAGATACCATGCTTCTGACAGAATTTCACCAGAGAATCACGTTGGAAGTAAGGATGTGTTTCGATCTGATTCACAGCAGGCTTGATTTTGGAATGCGCTAAACAATCTCTTGTCAAGAAGATGTCATAATTACTGCAAGCAGTTTCAATTATTAGTGATCTAAGCTATAATCAGTTCAGGAAATTTATGTGAAGTTTGCCAAATTTTACAGACTTCCAGCTTCCTATAACCAACAAAACACCAAATTCGAACCGGAGAAGTCTTTCAAAAAAAAAATTCCAACAGGAGAAGTTCTAAAGAATCATAAAAAACATTGAGAAATTTGACATGCATAGCCAAAATTCAGATACTCTGTAATTTCATAATGAAATAGAAACATTACCCTAGTTATTATGCAAGTATGAAGTATCTAATAAGACGTCTTTAAGGGTTACTTAACTAATATGATGTCTACACAAGGAATAAACATGACCTTATCGTAAGGCAGTAGGAAGAGCACACTACTACTTGTGTTAGACACAATAAAATGCGGTTATAAGTAACTTCATTTGAGTTACCTGATACCAATGCTGCGAGCTAAACCCTTAGAAACGAGATCTTCCATAGCGTGCCATGTGGTTTCCAAGGATATGGTAGTGTCAATCTCGAGAACACCATCCTCATCCAAAGCACTAGCAGTGGTACCAACTCCTGTAAGAAAATTGCGCAGAAAGAACTTAGCTTTGTATCACCGGAAATATATCAGTTGATATGTTTCCTACATGACTCCTCTGAAAACTTACAACAGAAAAAATTTCACAGCTAATGACTTAAAGAGTGTTTATCTAACTACAGCTACAATAATAAGGTCCTCAAGTGACATCCTAGACATCCATAGCTCTTGAAAATTATAAATTCAAGTGTAAGCAGTCTTTTAGTATGAAACTACGAATATTGACCACATCCATCTCATAGCATTGCACAAATAATGTAATTTGAGTTTGATCCTCAACAATCTGTTGTCCCTAACATAACCGTAGAAAAGTCATAATCCATCATAAAAGAATCAAAAATATTAATTTTACCAGTATGCTTTGTAGCTACGGGAAAGTGAACTAGATACAGATCCAAATAATCAAGTCGAAGTTTCTTCAAACTGTCTTTGCAGGCTTCGAGTACATGTCCATGGTCAGAGTTCCACAGCTGAAACAGTATCATACATGATATATGAGTGTAATTGTTATCTGGTGATCAGGATATCTTCCAAAATAGGAACTTTGTCCCCTCTCTAAATAGACTAACCTTAGTTGTAATGAAAAGATCCTCCCTCTTAACAAGCCCAGTTTGAAATGCTTCAGCTAGTGCCTCCCCAACCTCAGCTTCATTCTGGTAATCAGCTGCAAGAAATCTTGCGCAGTTACACATCATAACCTTTCAACAAAAAGCTTAAAATAATACATTGTAACAAACATGAATACATGAGTGCTATTTTCCTACTCGTTCTAGGGCTCTTGCATATAAGTACATTTTGAAACATATTGACCCCGGAATTAAAAATTACAATAGTCATTCTAACCAAGAAACAACAATATAGAAACAAAAATCCAACAACATCAACAACCACCCTCCTCACATATTGAGGAGGGCTATGAGCCTATGAGGCTCAGGCTTCCATTCATGACCGGGTAAGAATCAGGGATAATAAGAAGCCGAACGAGCTCAAGTTTATAGCTCTAACTCATGCTCAGGCCTAGCTCAACCACTTAAGACTCAACTTTCCATAGTGAGTTCCAACCAATTAACCAAACAAACACTTTCTCTATAGTTAAAATATTCCTGCTTTCAACATTTTGCCAATATTGTCAAAAATTAAAAACATTTTGCCAATATTTCAAGACCTTTATGAGAATTTAGTAAAATCCATTGTTAGCCGTAACTCATAACTCATTACTCGTTCTATACTCTTTTCAATCTTTACAATTGATCAAGCAGACAAACACTACAACTCATCAGCTTCTCCGCCGAGTTAAGAGGTACTCAGCCTACTACCTTTATTTATTATGGTCTCAAGTCTCAACCTAGCTTATCTTGGCTTAACTCAAGCCCACTAATTTCGGGTTTTGACCGAGCTGAGCCGGTAGCTAACGAGCAGGACAAGCTCATTATCACCCTCAGCTAAAACTGTAAATTGTAACAGCCCTATAACAACAACTTATACAGAAACAACTACTGTATTTCCCAAAACTGCAGCAACAGATATACACATGCACAATTGAATAAGCATACTAAAAATTGCAAAAAAAAAAACATTAACACAGACATTTCAACCCAATAACACAGGTAAAATAGACATAAATTAAATGGGTTTGCTTTAAATTAAACCAATCAAATACAACTAATTTCAATTGAATCATAACACCAATTTATACTTGGTATGATAAATAGTTTAATACTCTCCAACAAAAAATCAAATAACAACAGATAAACCACAAAATCCCCTTAAAATATCTGAAACACCCACCAAAAAAATGAAAAAATTGAATCTGGGTATTTGCACAAGAATAAAGAAGAGAAAAATGATACCAGCGCAATCAAAATGTCGGTAACCGATTTGAATGGCGTTGAGGATGAGATCTTTGACATCTTTCTTATCCATTCGCCAAACTCCAAGCCCAACAATAGGCATTTTGAATCCATTGTTGAGTGTAATCGCCATTTTTATCTGTTTTCTTTGTTCTTAATCTCTAAAAAAAACAGAGAAGGTTTGAACAAGAACAATGTAGAGGCGTAGAGCAGTAGCAGATGAAGCACACGTATTTATTTCTTGTACCTTTCACTCACTGTGAATCCGGTATCATGTGTAGATTTTTTAATTAATGTGATTATTATTATGGAATATAAGAATATTACTCCGTATTATTGTTGTCGTTGTTATTATAGGAACATTTTTAACCACAGAATGTAACTACCAAAAAAGTTACATGTATTGGAACATTTTGTATGGAGTATACGAGTATGTTTTGACGGAGTTAGGGAAAGGAATTAGATGAACTTTCTATCGTGTGATGCTAAACATTTTGCAATTAATTGATAGTCCGTCTTTGTAGTTACTCCCTCCATCTTTTTTATACGTCGTATGTTTTGTTTGAAAATATGCATCTTTATCATTAATATACTTTGTATTATTATACGGACTATATTCATATATAGTCCGTGTTTGTATGCAACTTTGATAATTAACAAGTGATTAGGCTAACGAATATATCCACAAGCATGATGGTGGTGAGTCATTTCATCATAACGACGACTATTAACCCTCATCAATCCACAACTTGAGGTCCATACGCATGAAACAAGTCACTATATGTAATAAGATGCATATGAGGCTGAAGAATTAAGGATGAAATGAAGCATGGCATTTTGCGTGACAAATGCAATACATTAAACATGCTTAAGATGTGACAAATTAGTTTCTTATCTTAGCTGCAAATGATACATAAACACCATGGAGCAACACAGGGACATGACCCTTTATTAGGTCCTAAAACCTTATTCTTAGCTCAGCACTTCGGCATCATTCATACACATCTATTCCCCAGAACTTCTCTGTTTGAATGGTCCGGTAATTGTGATCCATGCTTTTGGTCTGTTCCATGTCTTCTTCTGTCAGCTCAAAGTCTAGAGCTTGGAAGTTCTCCTTCAATCTATCTAGCTTGGATGACTTCGGTATGACAACTGTATTGCGCTGGATCCCCCATCGGAGAGCAATCTGTGCTGCTGTCTTTTTATGTTTCTCCGCGACACCCTGATAAAAAGGAACAGGATTAGATGCAGTGATCAAACCAGATTCAAAATGAAAAACTAGATTGAACTCCTAATCTCTAAACTAATCATAATTTGATCGAAGTTAGTCCATCACTCCTAGCAAACGATTTATTTAAAGTTGCCTAAGCCTTTGTGCAGCTTCCCTTATGCTTATCATGCAATGGTGCTATTAGAACTTCAGGCGTAAGATGTATAATACTTCGTACTTCATATTGCCTGATGCAACTGATATCAGACAATATTCGCGTAACAACACAAGGAAACAATTACCTTAAGAATTGGGTCATCCAACTATCCAAGCAGCACACTGTTCCAAACAAAGCAGTGTTTGCAGCAGCACCTCCTAGAGGAGTATGGGCAGTAACACAGATTCCATGCTTCTGACAGAATTTCACCAAAGAATCGCGTTGAAAGTAAGGGTGTAATTCAATCTGGTTCACAGCAGGCTTGACTTTGGAATAGGCTAAACAATCTCTTGTTAGAAAGATGTTATAGTTGCTGCAACCAGTTTAAATATTTAGTAATCTAAATTAAAGATCCAACTATTATGAGTAAAATGTATCCATGACAAGCACAGGAAAATAATGTGAAGATGGCATGCTGTTCAGACTCCCGGTTTCATAATAGTTACTAAACACCAAATCCAACCTATATAAATCTGTAGCATCATAGAAATTATTGATATAATGAAGTGAATGATTAGATAAATTCAAATATTTTGGAATCATAAAAAAAAAAAGATGGATAAGAAAGGCATTAGGGCTCATCGAACAGATTTTCTAGAGGATGGAGCATAGCCATTGTTGTTACGTAACTAATAAGATGTCTTTAAAGCTTAAGTAACTAACGAGATATCTCTGTAACAAAGGGAAAAATATAACACAGGAAATAGCTCCCCCCTCCCCCCCCCCCCCCCAAAAAAAAAAAAAAAAAAAAAAAAAAAGAATAGATATCAAGTAGCTTCATCAGAGTTACCTGATGCCAATGCTGCGAGTTAGACCTGCATAAACGAGATCTTCCATAGCATGCCAGGTGGTCTCCAAGGATATGGTTGTGTCAATGTCCAGCACACCATCCTCATCCAATACACTTGCAAAGGTAATAGCTCCTGTAAGAACATTGTACAAAAAAGCTTAGCGTGCATCACTAAAATATCAGTTGACACATTCCTACATAAGTCCTTTGAAAAGCTACAGGAGAGGAATGTTATCAGTATCTTCAGCTCTCTTTCAGTGAATATGAGGCGCCTAAACTCAAAATGAATACAGTATACGAGCACCACAACTAATGTTCATAAACCAATTGCACAAAAAAACAATTATAAAAGTAACATTCTTCATGCATGTAATATCATACATAGACATGCCTAGCTATTGACCATATATAATTACACATGTATTTAGACTATTTATATTGCTCTTATCCATCTCATACCACTGCATGAAGAAATTGACTTTGTAACAACCTGATTTTCAGCCATCTGTTGTCCCTAACATAAAAATAGAAAAAACGCAATAATCCATCATTCAAGAGTCAAGAATTTGAAGTTTACCAGTATGCTTTGTAGCTAAGGGTAAGTGAACTAGGTACAGATCCAAATAATCAAGTTGAAGTTTCTTCAAACTGTCTTTGCAGGATTCGAGTACATGTCCATGCTCGGAGTTCCACAGCTGCAATAGGATTATACAATGATAAATGGGTGTAATCGAAACCTGGTGACCAAAATCCCTTTTTCTTCTTCGCAAAAAGACTGACTGACCTTAGTGGTAATGAAAAGATCCTCCCTCTTGACAAGCCCAGTTTGAAATGCTTCAGCAAGCGCTACCCCAACCTCAGCTTCATTCTGGTAATAAGCTGCAAGAAAGCTTACCCTGTTACACTTACACATCGTATCTTTTCAACAAAAAGAGCTTATGACTATAGAAAAACATTGTAATGAACATGACCTAGAGTTTTCTACTTGCCATTCTAAGGCTCTTTCATATAAGATGGTTTTGAAATTAAAAGACCCCAGACTTCGTGAATTAACAGTCATTCTGAAACAAGAAACAAAAAGTATACCAGTAGAATCATAATCACACAACATTGACAATCAAGCACATAGCAACGAGTTCTCCGTTCATGATCTGGTTAGAATCATAATTGTTTCGGGGTTTTCTGATGTCCTGCGGGAGAGTTACAACACCAAGACTGGAACCGGCCGCCTGTACCTGCAAAATAACGGAGACTCCTGAGAGCTCCGCCTCCAACGGTCAAGTTAGTACTTGTTTGAGGAGTAATAAATGCGGAAATTAAAGGGGGGAGATCTGGTTCCTCTAGGGGAGGAGTGATCAATGTGTTTAGACTTCTCTAGGTGAGAGTCATTCCCTTGAATATGGAGGCTAATGACATGTTTATATAGCCTCGAAGTATGTGCCCAATACTAGGTTTTCTGGGAAAACCTAAGACTGATTGGGCTTGCCTCGGGAATTGGGCCTGCGATGGCCGTTTTCCAGGTTGGCGGATAATGGGCCAACATGATGTGACCTGATTAGTCCATGTTGGACCTATTAGGGTGACAAGTGGCGGACGCTGATTGGCCCACGTGGTGGACACGTGGCAGGTCCGGATTGGTCCATTTGTCATGGGTAATTTTACCCTAAACATTTGCCCCTCGGAAGGAGTAATTTCTCTTTCCAGGAGGGATTGCTCCTTTCGAAAGTTAGACCCTCGAAGCTTTGCTAGGTCGGCATCTTGTCTAGTTCTAATGGGAGATGGATTTGATTAACTTAGAAAATTTTGATACCTTGGGCGGTATGACATTTTCAAAGTTAATCAATCATAATAATGATTGCCGCCGAACTAGACAGATGCCGATTCTTTGCCCTACTATGCAGATAGCCCCTGATCAGGTGGACTGTCAACTATTGCATAAGGGGTAAGCGTTTAGCATTATTCGGGCGTTGGCCTCCTTTGATTCAATATACTAAGTTTGGTACTTAGCTTATTTTGTTGGGGGATGGCTGGTCGTCTGCTTTGGTGACTGCATAGAAGCAGGCGTCAGACAGGACGTCCAACCAAAGTAGCTACGCCTGTTAGGTTACAGACGGCAGCTTTAAATGTAGCCAACCTAGTATGAGTAGTGGTCGAGTACCTCTGTTTTCCAAAAAACAGGCGGACTCCTCATACCTTTTAGGCTCCATACTAAGTTTGAGAGAGTGACTATGAGTTAACTTAGGAGTTACTCAGTCTCCGTCACACTCTAGCTTGAGTAGTAGAGGTACCAGGCGGCGGAGGCCGGCTGATCCCCTTGATTCGCCAATGTTTGTTGGCTATTAACTCAAGAGGTACCCCCTGCATTTATCCCAAGTAATACAGGCGGTCATCTGACTCAGATGTCAACTGCTACCACTGGTTTGGTTAGTGATAGAGTTATCCTTGTCTCAAAAACGGCTACGTGGTTGCCCTTTGGGACAGTCGTATAGGTGCCGTGTAATTAGTTTATAGAACAATGTTCCACCCAAAAGGGAGCTGCTCTCTGCGACGAATTTCATCCGAATGGATGCCGCCGGACGCCTGCTATAATGTTGGGACAGGTCGGATTAGTTTTGTAAATTGATCAGGTGGCTTGGCGCCTGGTCTGATCATTCGGCCGGTGGCCTTGGTAAGTTCTTGGTGAACGTAGGTGCTAAGTCAAAGAAGGGTAGCCGCCTGTTAGGCACAGGGTCGGCCAGGCCCTAATCTTTTTAGCTAAGTATTGTGAGTAAAATACTCAATGGAGAGTAGCCGACTGTAAAGGAACAGACGGCATGCCCCTCTGAAGATAGAGTGAAAAAACTCAATGGAGAGTAGCCGACTGTAAAGGAACAGACGGCATGCCCCTCTGAAGATAGAGTGAAAAAACCCAATGGAGAGTAGCCGACTGTAAAGGTACAGACGACATGCCCCTCTGAGGATAGAGTGAAAAAACTCAATGGAGAGTAGCCGACTGTAAAGGTACAAGTGGCATGCCCCTCTGAATCAGTATCAAGTGGAGGACGGTCTTCAGCATGCTTGATAGATTGTCACACAAATAAGTGGAGGACGGTCTTCAGTAGGGTGCCGCCTAAACAGCCGGTTTTACTAACCTTAGGCTTTTTTTTTTTTTTTTTTTTTTTTTTTTTTTTTTTTTTTACTTGCAATCATAATAATGATAATGTGCTTATGGTGACAACTCACACATAAGATGAGACTTCCTGAACAATCATGCGGCAAGTTTTATACGATATGCAAGGCGTCAAGCCCCTCACATGCTTGCAATGAACAAGCAATCGGCTACTCTTTGGGTTTTGAGGCCGGCTGCTTGAGCTACGACGCTTTACATGCCGCCTGCTCAAGCTTCACATCCGGCCAAGCATGGTGTCGGTCTCCTTTGGTGGTTGATCAAAGAGAGCTGGCTCTCTCATAGCACCAAGATACGAGGGGGTGTTTTCAATAATCATTTGGCATGCCGCCTGTCTATTGCCGAGCCACTTGTATATAGCTTGCATATTCACAGGTGGCTTATTATGCCGCTTGTGTTTCTAATTCATCTTCAGTTTTCCACTCAGCAAGGAGTCTATCAAACATACGGCTTTCGCCCCTTGCTTGTGCTACTGTCGGATGCTTTAATCATAGGTGCCCATGCTCCACCTTGTACTTTGTCGATGATTTCAAAGGCCGGCTGGTTCTGCCGTGATGTGCCGGCTGTTTTTAATTGCCGTATAGCCTGACTTGTGATGGTAGCGAGAGCCGCCTGTATAGATGGCGGGTGGCTGGCTGCTTGTGAGCTTGAATGTTACCGGCTGGTTCTATCAAAATAGCAAAGATCATAAATATGCTCGCATGTCGGGCCGTTATTGTTTCTCTTGTTTTGAACCTGAAGTAAACCGAGCACAATGGAGCTTTGCGTATGGCCGCCTGCTCTCATTAAAGGCAGGAGATGCTTTGTTATTAAGGTCAGCTGCTCAAGCTCGAGCTAGTTGATTTTGCTTGATCCCGCTGGGCATTATTTAGACCAAAGTGATCTGAAAAACATGAAGACCCATGTTATCTCACGCATGGCTTGATGCGTTTGCTGTGGATGCCGCTTGCTTGGCTGCCGTTTGTAGGATTATTGAGTGTCGGTTGAGACCATTGACTTAGCTTGTTTTGTGACCGGCTGCCTTGCTTTTGTCTTGATGGTGTAGTTCAAACAAACTTGGGTTGGTTTGTAATCATGATGGCTTCGTTTGATATGTCGCTTGTTATTACAAGTTTAGCCAATCATGCCACCCATCACAAAGTTGGGCAAGACATGCCGCCTGCTTCTTCAAGTATTTGCCCATTCAAATACTCCTCCATGTGCTAAACTCTCCAAGATAATGTGCCATGCCGTCTGTCTATACTCAGCCTTGCACATTGAATGGATTTAATGACCGGCTGATTAAAGGTGGGCTTTTACGTGCTTGCTGATGTTTGAAACAAGCATGGCCACACCCGGCTGCTCATAATCTTGGCTGATATTCTCCTAGCAGCTCGCAAGAATTGAGACATACACGCGTGTGTAGGCTATATGCTTTTGAAATGAAGTCATTGTATTCAAATTTCGGCATCGAATAGCCGAATATTCATGCGACTGTTGAGACAACCGCTTGTTTTTAGAGTCAAATTCAAGACTATCACATACATAAGCCGGTGGTTACGGCTGTTTGCTGGGCAGGTGCCGCCTGCTTCATCTTTAAACATGGCCGTCTGTTTATTGCAGCTGCTGCCGCCTCTTTCGGCTTTTTACGAAGCTTTCTTACCTCCAGGCTGTACATGTGATTGCTTGTTTGCCAAATGTACCACCAAATGCTTAGGGTTAGCCGACTGTTCACCTCATCCCAACACAGCCAAGTTTAAGATACCTGACCGGCTGTTTTTAGCATGTTGACGTACTTAGCCAAAATCGTTGTGATGGCCGGCTGTTTAAGTGCGTTGGTGATTTAAGTAGCCCCTGACCACTGGCAGCCAGCTTGTAGCATAGAGGAAGCCGCATGTATGCTCATACATTTAATCTCATTCGAAGCTTTGGCGTTGAATGGACGAATGCTCAGGAAGCTAAATGTTTATACAGCCGGTTGTTTCCACATTCCACCATAATAGCCGGTTGCTAGTTTGCTGGATACACAACGAAATGCGTAAAGATGGCCGACTGTATTATTTGCCCAGTGTCTGAGCTATCCACATAGTGCCGGTTGACTTGCTTATTATGCATTGTCTAACAAAATTCGAAGATTGCTTTGTTTTCATGGAGTTGAAACCTTTTCGCCTCGAACTCGGCATTTGGCCGTGTATTTTAGAGTTAGCTTGGCACATAATTGCCGCTTGTTTATGTGGAGTTGGGAGGCTTGTTGGCTATGCTTGTGATACTGCCGGCTACTTTTATGAATTAGCCGGCTGTTTTGCTAATCATGGTTGGTTTTATTGCGGCTGTTATATTTCCTGCTAGCTTGAGGCTCGACATTGGGGTGCCGCATGTTCAAGCTTCTCTCTAATGTACTTGTCTCTTTAATTGTTGTAGTGGGTTGCCCCCTAATGAAAGCAGGCGTCAAATTGCAAATGCCACACTTCCTGACACACCTCTCTAATGTACAAATTTCTCAGCTTTAATTATTGTAGTGGATTGCCACCTAAGGCTCTTAAGTGGAGCTTTGCCATACATATTACCACTAAGTTAGGCGGCTCCCCCTCTTTTTTTTTTTTTTTTTTTTTTTTTTTTCATCATAATAATGATATGATAATAATAAATAGCTTACAAGCTTGACCGTCTGACTCTTTGCATTCGGCCGTATGACGCCTGCAGTAGTTGGCCGCCTGGTCGGATGCTCGGAGGTTGGTATATTGCCGGTTGTACCCAGTAGTTTCATGCGAGGCGCATGTAACTTCAACTGGGAGTGGTTTGATCTGGCCGACTGTTCCTTTGGTGGAGCGGTAGCCTTTTTATTGACAAGCTCTTGGATCTTTCCCTTGAAAGTACTCATGAGGGCCATGAGTTCATTCCTGGTTATAGGGGCAGATCCCTCGGCCGCCTGTTGATTTAGCCAGGCAGGCTCCCCGTTCCTTCCTTTCGGGTGCGTCGAGCTCTGAGGGACCCGTCAGGGGCCGTGTGAGTCTCAACTTCATATTCTTCGTCGGTATCATGGTCCGACTGATCTTGAGGGTCGTCTAGGGGACGCCTCTCTTCAAGAGTCGGTACAGACGTGGATGCCATCTCAGAAGTACTCTCCCCACAGACGGCGCCAAATGTTTCGGGGTTTTCTGATGTCCTGCGGGAGAGTTACAACACCAAGACTGGAACCGGCCGCCTGTACCTGCAAAATAACGGAGACTCCTGAGAGCTCCGCCTCCAACGGTCAAGTTAGTACTTGTTTGAGGAGTAATAAATGCGGAAATTAAAGGGGGGAGATCTGGTTCCTCTAGGGGAGGAGTGATCAATGTGTTTAGACTTCTCTAGGTGAGAGTCATTCCCTTGAATATGGAGGCTAATGACATGTTTATATAGCCTCGAAGTATGTGCCCAATACTAGGTTTTCTGGGAAAACCTAAGACTGATTGGGCTTGCCTCGGGAATTGGGCCTGCGATGGCCGTTTTCCAGGTTGGCGGATAATGGGCCAACATGATGTGACCTGATTAGTCCATGTTGGACCTATTAGGGTGACAAGTGGCGGACGCTGATTGGCCCACGTGGTGGACACGTGGCAGGTCCGGATTGGTCCATTTGTCATGGGTAATTTTACCCTAAACAATAATCACACAATCTTAAATACCGGTTTTCACCCCTGATTCTAACACACCTTACCAATGCATCACCTCAGACCGAAACCACATGAACAACTATAATCGCCCGACACACATGGAGGCCTACATCTACTTGGAATTTACCTTTTGAGGTCTTACAAATACTCAGCCCACCACACTTTTAAAGGTACGAAACATTTACTACAAAAGGCGTTCAATTTATCATGTAAAATTGAATAAAATTCACTCAGCCCAACACACTTTTAAAGGTACGAAACATTTACTACAAAAGGCGTTCAATTTATCCTGTAAAATTGAATAAAATTCACTCAGCCCACCACACTTTTAAAGGTATGAAACATTTACTACATAAGGCGTTCAATTTATCCTGTAAGATTGAATAAAATTCACCATCGGAGCTAATTTCCTCACACCACTCCCAAATTCCCAACAGTTGACTTATATACCCAGATCGAACATAACTCTTAGCTTAAATTGTAAAGTGTACACATACCTATACTAACAAGTAACAACTTTACTCAGTATTTCCCAAAGTGCAACATTGGACATACACCCTAACACACTTACACACCGACACCGACACGCGCATAATCAAATGAAAAGCAGACTAATAAAACACTAAGCAACTACTTCTCAACCCAATTAACACAGGTAAAATAAGCATAATTAAACGGATTTGCTTCAAACTAAATTAGAAAATCCTCTAAAAATGACACCAAGAAAAATGGGTATTTGCTAAAATTGCAACTTTATCAATAAGAAAAGATAAAGAGAATACCAGCACAATCAAAGTAACGATAGCCTATTTTAATGGCGTTGAGAATAACATCTTTGACATCATTCTTTTCCATTCGCCAAACTCCAAGTCCGATAATCGGCATTTCGAATCCATTGTTCAATTTTATCGCCATTTTTCTCTCTTACTGAATGTTGTTGGAACTACAATCACTATTATTAATTTATAATCATAATTAATACACCATATAATAATGTTGCTGCTAAACCATGATATTATGAGTGTGGAACCCATGCATTTTGTATTTTATATTTTACTCTGGATCACTCATGATTCATGTGTGACTTGCTGGTTATAGTTTTGCCTGCTACCAATATTGTCAGTTCATAAATGTGATCACAATGGGCCTAGTATAAGAACAAATATTTTATTCAAACACGATTTTTACTGAATTTTATAAATTTTATCAGACATTGTAATAAAGAAATAATGCTAAAGTGTTCCAAAGATGTGCCAAGTTTGTGTTTTTTTTATCTTAGCTACAAATGATACATAAACTAGACATGCATATCCCTTGTTCTTTTAACTAGGTTACAAAATCAAGCACTTCACCTTCATCCATATACATCTATTCCCCAGAACTTTGCTGTTTGATGGGTCCGGTATTTACGATCTATGCTTTTAATCTGTTCCATGTCATCTTCTGTCAGCTCGAAATCTTGAACTAGAAAGTTCTCCTTCAATCTCTCAAGCTTGGATGACTTTGGTATGACTATTGTATTGCGCTGGATCCCCCATCGGAGAGATATCTGTGCTACTGTCTTTTGGTGTTTTTTCGCGAGACCCTGATCATAAAGAAACAGGATTAGATGCAAAGTTGCCAACAGCTTGATGCGACTGAAATAAGACAATATTTGCATAAGAACAAATGGAAACACTTGCCTTAAGAACTGGATCATCCAAACAAGATACTGATCCAAACCATTCAGTGTTGGCAGCAGCACCTCCTAAAGGAGTATGGGCGGTAACACAGATTCCATGCTTGTGACAGAATTTCACCAGAGATTCACGTTGGAAATACGGATGTGTTTCAATCTGGTTCACAGCAGGCTTAATTTTGGAATACGCTAAACAATCTCTTGTCAGAAAGAGGTCATAGTTGCTGCAACCAATTTAAGTAATTAGTAATCTAAACATCAGAGTTCAGACTCCCGGCTACATACTGATGACTAAACAGCAAAGTCCAACGGGAGAACATCTATAGCACCATAGAAAATAATGAGATGTGAAGTGAATGACAATAAATTCAGATGTGATGCAATTCCTCAAATAAAAGTTTGAATACGAAAGACATTAATAGACCTCATACAGCAAGGTCCTTTGAGGGTGAAGCATTACCCTTGCATGTTATTTACATTACAAGAAGACCAAACCTTTCACATCAGAGTGATTAGGCAAAATCAGATAAGGTTTCAAGTAGTTTTATTTGAGTTACCTGATACCAATGCTTCGAGCCAAACCCATAGAAACGAGATCTTCCATGGCATGCCAAACGGTCTCCAAGGATAGAGTAGTGTCAATATCAAGCACGCCATCCTCATCCAATGTACTTGCAGTGGTACCAACTCCTGTAAGAGCATTGTACATAAAAGCTTAGTTTGCATCACTAAAATTATCAGTTGATATATATTCCTACATGACTCTTCTGAAATCCACAAGAGAAGAATACTGTCGGTATCAGCTTTTTCAGTGAATTTGAAGCACCAAAACTCAAAACATATAATACACAGTATGTCAGTATATGAGCAAAGCAACTAATGGCTTAAGGAAATTAATCAAAATCTAATCAAAAAGTCTTCATGTAACATCCTAGACATGCACAGCTCTTGAGCATTTACATACTCTATATTCACGTAATCAAGTATGAGACTATGAAAATTGCTTTTATCCATCTCATAACACTGCCCCACCCCCACAAAAAAAAAAAAAATGGCAATTCATAGTTCAAGAGGCAGAATTTGAAATTTACCAGTATGCTTTGTGGCTACAGGTAAGTGAACTAGGTACAGATCCAAATAATCAAGTTGAAGTTGCTTCAAACTATCTTTGCACGCTTCATGCACATGTCCATGATCAGAGCTCCACAGCTGCAATAGGATTATACATGATAAGTGAGTGTAAATGTCATCCGGTGATCAAAGTTCCTCCCAAATTAGAAACTTTGTCCTCCTTAGACCTTAGTGGTTATGAAAAGATCCTCCCTTTTAACAAGCCCAGTTTGTATTGCTTCAGCAAGTGCCACCCCAACCTCAGCTTCATTCTGGTAAAAAGCTGCAAGAATCGTACCCAATTAAACATTGTAATCTTTTTAGCAAAGACAGTAAGATAATATTACATTGTAATGAACATGAGAGTTCTCTACTTGTCATTCTAAGGCTTGTACATGTAAGATGGCTCTGAAATAAAACAACCCTTGACTTTGTGAACTTAATAGTCATTCTGAAACAAGAAACAGAACCATAATCACAACAGCATCACGAGGCCTCCATTCATGACCTGGTCAGAAGCTCAGAATGAGGGATGATAAGAAGCCGAGCAAGCTCAAGCTCATAACTCAACTCATGCTCAAGCCAAACTCAATCACTAAATCTTTCTTGTCCATTTCCAGCCAAATAAACCTAGAACATACTTTTCCTCAAGTTATAAAATTCCTACTTCTAACTCTTTGCCTGTATTATAAGGCTTTCATAACAGAGTTTGTAAAATCCTTTTTTAATATCACGACTCAGCTACTCTTTTCAATTCAAACAATCAGTCAGAGATTCCAGCTCATGAGCTTCATTGCCAAGCAAAGTGGTGCACAGCCTAGAACGTTACAGACTAAACTTGAGCTTCACACGAGCTCACTATAATCGGGTTTGACCAAGCTGATCTGGTAGCTAACAAACAGGCAAGGCTCATCATCAGTCCTTTACTAACAACTTGCACATAAACAACTATTTCCCAAAGTGCAACAATACACATGCACAATTGAATAAAAAAAAAAAAAAAGACTAAAATGATTTCTTACAAAAAAATTCAACCCAATTAACACAGATGAAAAGCCATAAATCAAATGGATTTGTTTCAAATCAAAGTAGTCAAATTCAACTAATTTCATTTAATTCAAACACGAATTTATTTGATTAATTCGGCATGCAAAAATTTGTATAAACTCCCCATAAAAATAACCCCCCCAAAAAATTAAAACCATAGTTTGACCCTAAGATTAATTGATTATGACATCAATAACTACATGCAAGTGAAAAATAAATGTGGTATTTGCAGCTTAATAATAGGAGATAAAGAGAATACCAGCGGAATCAAAGTGACGATAGCCGATTTTAATGGCGTTAAGAATGAGATTTTTCACATCCTTGCCATCCATTCGCCAAACTCCAAGTCCAATTATGGGCATTTTGAATCCATTGTTCAGTTTTATCGCCATTTTTCTTTCTCTAACTCCATTAACAACATACTCTTATACAATATAATTTTTATTTTTGGGATTTTGTGTGCACGGTGTTTAATGCTTCAGACTCAGTGCATCAGACATGCACAAACCACCAAACCATGATAAAGCAGGACAGAATTATCCAATAATTGTATGATATTTGTCCATAAAAAATATGAACTTTGTACCAGGTTATATTCAACGTTTTGCAATAAACCTTGGAATTTGTGAAAGAGATAATACTTTATTTGATTGTTAATAATCCACATTTTGGAATAAGCTGATCAGTATTGTTAATGCTCCACAATTCGGATTAAGCCGATAAGTACATAGGTGTAAATTTGTAATTAGATATAACAGTTCATTTTCATTGAAGTGGCCTTTTTTTCAGAATTGTAGAATTTGAAGATCTTACTACTGAGTATAATTTTAATACTACCTCCATTAACTTTTATTTGAAACTTTGGGGTATTATTTGTGAGATATAAAATATTCCAAAGTTGCAAATAAAAGTTAACGGAGGTAGTATTTAATCTGTTTTCAGTATTTTTTAACATGTTTGGTAGATTTGGCTTCCCTGATTCTTCCTGTGACAATGTCCATAACTGTAGTTGCAATCTTTTTTGACGCATTCTCCATTCACATTTTTGGATTAATATCATACATTGATTTTCAAGTATAAAAAGTTTATTAGTAGTAATTTTTTTTCCTTCTATCTCAAAATTTTCTACTTGTACTTCCAACGGTCTTCAACCAAAAACTTCAACCCTTAAAGCCAAAAAAAGCATACATTTCACCTGTTCATCACCTACTTCCATAGCTCTATGTCCAATTAAAAAAAAAGAAAAAAAAAAAAAAAGTGGAAAAAAAATGGCACGTGCCAAAATTGAAGTAAAGCAACTGATTTTTTTCCATTTGACTTTGGTCAAATCAGCTTCCAGCTATTTGAGCTTGTAAAAAACACAGGATCCAGATCCACTCGTCAAAAAACTACAACCATGGTTTATGATGATCATCCAAACTGGAAGTTGAGCAGCAGTTGCAAGAGCCAAATGCCTCTTTAACACAATGTACTCTGTTTTTCCATTAATAGTTGCTTAAGCTAAGCACATACCAAAACCCATTTACATAATCAAAGCCCCTCGAGAATTACAGTGACAAATATTTTTTTTCCAGAAGTATTTCCTAAAAGAAATAAATACTACTCGTAGTTCTTTGAAAACTACTGTTTTGCCAGGTAGCTAGAAAATCCGAAGTGAAATTTCCTGCAGTATACTAGTCTAAAGTACAGAATAAGAGTGTAGATTGACAAACTCTTCATTTTTTTTCTGCTGCTGCCCTTTTACGTATCTCATGAGCAGTGTTAAAGATTCCTAGGGTAGGCTGGTTGCAAACGAAACACTTCTTGTTCTTGGCATGATGCTGCATTCAAGAGAAAAGCTCAAATTAGTAAATGATGGGACATCCAAGAGGAAAGGTCAAAAACACCATTGCACCAACGGAAAAGGTTTACTAGCACAACACAGTACATGAAGTGTTTCCGCATGACCAACAAAAAAATCATACCCAAAAGAACAATGGCAATTGCTATGAAACATAAGTACTAGTAATAAATTAAATTATTCAAATATGGAATTAATAGCCAGAAATATGTTGACATTATTAACACCCCCCCCCCCTTCTTCTCTCATCAGGATAGGTTTTTTTTTTTGTTGTGAAAAGAGAATTTACAGTTACATAACTTTGTACCCTTAATTTCCCCTATTGTACCTACATGGCCACAGCTTCAATCCTGAAAACCCCTGGTCAACAAACACTATCAAATTCAGAAGATAGACCAGATGTTGACGCCATGCCACTGAGCATAAGCAGCAAGTTCTTGCTTTTTTCTTTATTCTTTTTTTTTTTTGGGGGGGGGGGGGGGGGGGGGAGGGGTGTTATACAACAAACATTATTTTTTCAGTTAATTGTGTGGAAGAAGTAGGTGCAAGATTTATGTCCGATGAGGCTATGAAACATAGCCATAGCAGACATGTCCATCAGTGACAACCTTGGCACCTTGCAGCCTTGCCTTTTCATTTAACCTTCTTCCAGACTACCACCCACAATTTTCCTCAATACTGTGCTAATGCATTAACATTGCCAAGCTTTAGCTTGTATAGCATTCATTGAAGCTTTTCCATACTTAAGGGACCCAAAGGCAAGTTCACAAAGTAAAGAAAAGTGAAATCTTGAGATTGTAAACCATTTGGCACCAGCTAAATATAGTTCATAAAACACAGGTCAATTTTCACCGAAATCTTCGAGTCAAAAGATTTTTCAATCAGCCCAAGATTATTCATTCATTTAAATGATTGGTAAATGAGTGACGGGAACTGCTTTTCAAACTAGGTGTGATAAGGACACAAATCACAATAGAGTGAGCTACAATAATACATGGCATGAAGCTCTTTTATACCAAAGTTCAAAAGTCATCAGCAGCAAAATAGAAATCAGAACTTGTTAATAAACACAAAGCATGGTATGCATAAATCACAAGCACTCATGGCAAGCATAATATTGAAAAAACAGATGAAAATTTTCAATTACCTTTAAAGCACAATGCTCACAGAAGTAGTGCTTGCATTTCGTCATCACTGGGTCGACAAAAGGCTCCCTACAAATAAAACAGGCAAATGGCAAGGAATCATCGTCCTCTTCCGAGTCATGATCAACATCCTCTTCATCACTGTCATGACATCCCATAGCTAAATTTCTCTTTCTAGCCTTTTCTGCTTCATCCCATTCTTTTTCCATCTGCCATCCAGACTTATAATCACCCCGATCATGCATAAACTTACATGAGTCACCATAACCACAGTAGCCAGTTTCTTTGTAGTCCTTACAAATGTCTGGTTGGTAGTCAAATCTAGCAGATACTCTAATATGAGCTGAGGCCCTGAGAGGACCGTGAGCCCCACCAGCTTTCTCAGCAGCAACAGTTTGCTCACGGCGGAAACCTGCTCTGTGATCAGTGTAACTGTTCATACCCTTATATACCTTTTCATCACCAGATGTCTTGTTAGTTTTTCCCTTCAACGCCTCCGCAGCTTTCATGAGAGCTCGCTCTCGAATAGCCCTGGAGTCTCTTGAGAAGTCTGTCTCAGTTTCAAGAGTAGCTGTCGCTTTGCTATCATTCTGCACCTGAATCTCTTTCGAAGACTCATATTGAAACAGCACATTCTTTTCATCCTTGGTTGATTCCTCAGACACCGTCCGCTTGGATGTCCCAGTAGCAGACCTTTTAGCAGAGTGTGTCACAAAACTCTCCCCTTTATCGTCATCTCCAGCGTCAACTATAGGCCGTTTTCTCATGTTTTTGTTCCCCATTGGTTTTTTAACAAAGCTGCACACTGCCCAAGAAATAGAAATTCAGCAACAATCAAAATATAAAACAGGAATAGGAGCAAATATATTGATACTCAGGAAAAGAATCAAACCTTGTTCAGTCTTCTTTTCATTTTCCTCAGACATACTAATTTTGAAGAATCTAGCTTATGCACAGAGCCGACCGAACACACCGGAAACTGCAAAATTGCATAGGTGGGAAAATTAACAATTTGGCCAGCAACAACTACCAATCAACATTCTAAAAACAAAATATAATCTCACACATATATCCAAAAAAAAAAAAATTCTGGAACACCAATTCTAGCAGCATACACAAGAAGGTAATGTAACATTGTAGCCCAATGATTTCCAGTTGTGCCTAAATAGCTAGTGCTGACTAGTATTATACTTGTATAATTTTATTGAATTGATTATCCAAAAACTCATAAAACCAAAGAATATCGATTAAAATTAAGCCTGTTTTAATCGATATTTTATGTCAAGCTACTAAGAGCAAAATTATGCCCCTTTGACGACCGTATGCAATGATCATATTGAACAAACCATAACAACACAAACAAAATAGTTCATAATCTAATTTCATATTTAATTATCTCGAAAAATACATAATTTTAGGGATATTTGATTCAATAAGCTCATAATTTTCTTTTCTTTTGGTTATGATGTTTCATAATCTAAGAATTTAGAATCAATAGTTGAGATTTACGAACCCTAAACATAAAGCACTGGAAATTAAATTAGATTAGATGAAATATAAACCCTAGATTGTGAAATTGATATGATGATAACAACAACAAACAACTTACCTTAGAAGCTACTTCAATGGGGATACAAGAATTAGATTTAACGGAGAACGTCAACTGCGCTTCAATGGAGAACGTTGAGTGCGCTTCAATGAAATAACTGAGAGAGGTAAGAATAGCTCAATTGCTAAACATCGCCCGCGAATCTCCACATAAAGCCCACAAAATTAGAGTGAATTGTCACTTTTGCCCTCAAAGTAAAAAACACAATTTCTTCTCTCAATTCTGTACTTCCACTTTCTCTCTCTAAAAAACTTTCCGAGCGATGTCGAGGCGGCCCGGCAAGGAAGTGGCGGCACAGGCGGCGGGTGGACAGCGGTTTTCCGGCGAGAAGGTATTTTTTATTAATTTTGTGTTTAAAAATTAAAAAAAAAAGGTCGGAGGCGGTGGCGGCGCCTAGGCCAGACGCCACCACCACGGCAGCGGCGTCTAGCCCAGACGCCACTACCACGGCGGCGGCGCCTAGGCCAGACGCCGTGACGGTGGCGGTGGCGTCTGGCCCAGGCGCCAGAACCACGGCACCGGCGTCTGGCCTAGGCGCCGCCGCCGTGGTAGTGGCGTCTGGGCTAGACGCCGCCGCCACCGTCACGGCGTCTGGCCTAGGCGCCGCCGCCTTTTTATTTTTTTTTTTAATTTTTTTTTGGTTTTAAATTTGAAATTTAATTTTCGAAAATAATTATTTTTTTTTTGATTTTTTTTTAAATTTGTTTTTCTTTTTTTTAATTTTAAATTTTATGTTTCTGATTTTTTTTTTATTTTGTTTTAAATTTTGTTGGTTTTTTTAAAAAAAATTTTATGTTCCTCTTTTTTTTTTTTAATTTTTAATTTTATGTTCTTGTTTATTGTTCTTGTTTTTTTTTTTTTTGAATTAGTTTTTTTACTTAAAAAAAATTTTATGTTCCCTTTTTTTTGTTATAAATTTTTTTTAAAATTTTGATGTTCTTCTTTTTTTAAGTTTTTATAATTTTATATTTTTCACTTTGTTTTTTCCAATTTGTTTTTTTTGGGTAATTTTTTTTTTTGCTTTGTTTTTTCCAATTTTTTATTTATTTATTTATTAGGTTATTAATTTTTTTATTTTTAGGTTGTTAATATTTTGTAATGTTTTTAATTTATTTTCCATCATATGTATATTGTTTTATTTATTTATTTTAATTACTTTTTTTATGTTTATATTACATGTTTATATTGCATATTACATGTTTTGTTATTTTGTGTTAGGCATCGTATTTTCGTTCTGGGGCTGGGAAGAGTATGGACATTATGAGAAGTACGATGAACTCAATGGAGAGCTCGGGGCCCAGACACGTTAGATCCCGTGGTATTTCGGCCTCGGCTCGTAGAGAACGGGTGCACTATTCTGAGGATGATGAAGATGATGATGGTGATGAGGAGGAGGAGGAGGAGGATGCAGATGAGGATGTGGACGATCAGAGTGGACCATATGATGATTACGGTCCATTCAGTCAGAGGCTTGATGATGTGTATGAGACGCGTAGGGTAGACGTGCGTAAGGGTAGAGATGGTAGATTTGTTAGTAGATCTGGCACATCATCACGGCTTTCGTTGAGCGATGGCAGCCGGACACGAACTCTTTCCACCTTCCGTTCGGTGAGATGACGATCATGTTGCATGACGTCGAGGCCATCCTTGGGATTCCCGTAGAGGGAAACCGAGCATCTGTTGTCACAGATGCGGATCAGGCAGATTTATTGGCGGAGCTGTTGGCGGTGGATAGGGCTGCGCTGTACACAGCGGCACTTGGTGTGTGGGATCACGGCGGTGTTAAGATCGCAGCAGTTTTGCAGCGATGTTTGCACCCCACTTCACGTAGGACGCAGGACACACAGCTGGCTGCATATGTTTTTCTTCTTCTCGGGTGTACCTTGTTTCCGGATAAGAGCGGAAACAAGCTCAGGCCACGCGACATAGTTGACGCGTGTGAGCCCGACAGAGTAGGCCAGTTTTCTTGGGGGTCGGCTACATTAGCGTACATGTATCGCCAGTTAGGATTCTCGAGCCGGGCTGATGCGGCAGGTATCACTGGATGTATGACGTTGTTACAGACGTGGATATACGAGTATTTCCCGGCGTTTCGACCACACCGCGACCCGGTTCCTATTGGGGATGGCCAGCCACGTGCCTGTGCGTGGAGTCCGCGTGTCGAGAAGAAGTCCATTGACCGCCTGCGATCGATACGGTTATTGCTTGACAGGATGTCCCCATTAGAGGTAAAGTGTTTAAATTATTTCTACTTTTATAGTTTGATGTGTTTATTGTATGAATCTTACTAATTTTAAAAAATGTGCAGGTGAACTGGATGCCTTTCGGCCAGAACCCTAGTAATAGGGTACCCAGGACCCTCTACACGGGACTGATTCAGTATCGTGAGATCGTAGAGGCGTACATGCCGCAGCGCTGTCTTCGCCAGCTTGGATATGTCCAAGTTGTTCCTCCTCCACCAGCATGGCCCAGTAAGGCCATCCGATCTGCGTCGTCGAAGGAGTACGTCGTCCAATGGCCGGCAAGCATGATTGGCACGTGGGAGCAGTTTCCGATGGTTGCCCGCATATGGATTGAGCAGCTGCAGCGGCCGCCAACTGGGGTGGCTGCCATGTGTGACCAGCACTACATGGAGTGGTACAACCGGCACTCGCACCCGAGGTTGATCAGAGACGTCCACCACGGCGACGACGCCGATGATGATGATGTGCCACCGCCCACTGCCGTGGATGCGGTACGTCTCATAAGACATTTGTAGTTGTGTTTTTTTCCATATAATACGTCTCATAATACGTCGTTATTGAATTTTATGTGTTTTGTTATGTGTAGTGGATGGGAAAGATGACGCAGTTGGGACACAGACTTTTTGAGGAGAGGGACAACATGACGACTGCAACAGGCAGAGCTGTTATTGATGAACTGGAACGGGCCCTTGAGCAGTGGCAGTGGGCGTCACAGAGAGATTATTGATATGTCGGCAGTGCATTTATAAAACATTTTCCTAGTTGTTTGTAAAAGTTAACATTATCTGTTCTTATAATTATTATTTTAAGTTCTTAGAATTTGACATTATATTTTTAGTTTTTATAACTTTTATTTTAAGTTGTAATTAGTGGGCATACGAAAACTAAATACAGGTTCACATTTAAATGAGAAAACTAAATACGAAAATTAGAATCCGAAAATTAAATAAATGGGAAAAACATAGCAATAGCAATATTAGGTCACATAGAAAAGGCAACTAGATTGTTCCACTGCTGCACCCGGTCATGATATAACGCATCCCAGCCCTCTAAGTTCTTGTTGAAAAGGTTGTAGGCTTTGACTTTCACGCATTTGTTGATGTGCCATGTGCACAGTAAATGGCTCGACTCCGGAAACAGCTCCGCTATAGGGGCAAAGAGACCTCCCTCACAATCGCTGACGATGGCCGATGGCTGAACACTTGGGCCGATGTAATTTCTCAACTTCTCCAACACCCAACGGTAACTCGCAACCGTCTCATCCTTCATAACTGCATAACCAATCAAAAAGTTCTGGTTCGTTGGAGTCATCCCAACCATCTCAACCAGTGGAAACTTATACTTGTTTGTCTTGTACGTTGAATCGATCAGAATCACAGATGGCCAAGACGAAATCATATCAGCACAATCAGGATGCAAGAGGAACAAATGAGTCACCTCCGATGTGTCTTCATCAGATTCAAACCAGTACAGGTAACCACGTGCTTGTGCCTGGTGTAGAAGCTGCTGTATAGGGTTCCTTCCCTCTGACCGTTCAAACCTCAATTTATGTCTGACGTTGTAGATGTGTCTTCGGTTTGGCTGGTCTTCAGGAAATTTCTCCAACACAGATGCTAATATTTTAGCAGGCTTCACTTGAGCATCACTCATTTCTTTTACAATTAGTTTCGCAGCAGGACTTAGGCCACTTAACTGTCGATGACCCACTTCATATGCGATCATCTCATGGTTGTGATACCCCCATTTACCGTAACTCTTCACTTCCCAACCGTCACCCCTTTGCTGTTGTCGAACCTTTACTCTGAACTGACACCCACAACCTTTCCGCTTTGTATCAAACCGAATCGCTTGACTGAAATCTCGTTCCTCCCTTTTGCGATAACGGTCGCATCTCAAAATGCGATCCATTCTACCATCCCGTTGAGATTTATGAGTTGCTACTACTAAACAAAAACCTGATCTAATTGCAACCTGTTTCGCCCAATCAACCGCTTGTTGAGCATCTTCGAACAGACCATCGTGTACAAAAATCCCACTATAATCATTTCCGTCTCCACCATAATCCTGCAACAATAACATATAAATATAATCACATAAGAGTAGATTAAATTAATACATTTGACACAACATTAGCACAAAAGCAAAAACAATAATAAATTATAAACAACAAACAAAGAAATAAACAAAAAGTATTCAAAAAAAAAAAAAAACAAAACACAAAAATAAAAAACATAAACAAAACTTTAGATTAAATAAATAAAAATAAACCAAAAAAATAAAAACAAAAAAAAAACATAAAACGAAAAAAATTGTAAAAAAAAAATAAAAAATAAATAAATTAAAAACAAAAACAAATTAAAACAATTAAAAACAAAACAAAAAAAAAACCAAAAAAAAAAGAAAAAAATTGTAACACAAAAAAAAAAATAAACAAATTTTAAATTAAATTAAAAAAAAAAAATAGTGGTGGCGCCTAGCCAGGAAGCCGCCACCGTGGCGGTGGCGTCTAGCCAGGACGCCGCCACCGTGGCGGTGGCGCCTGGCCAGGACGCCGCCACCGTGGCGGCGGCGTCTTGGCCAGACGCCACGGCCACGGTGGCGGCGTCCTAACCAGGCGCCAGAGCCACGGTGGCGGCGTCCTGGCTAGGCGCCACCACTACGGTCACGGCGTCCCGGCAGGACGCCAGCCGCCAATTCGTGGTTTTAGATGGCTTCGTACCTCCTTTTCCGGCGTCAACGGCGTCTCTCCGGTGCATCTACCCGACGTTGAGGGCTCTTCGGTTTCACTCGGCGATCCAGTCCTGCTCCACATTTTTTATGAGTGAAAAATTTTATTTTCGGTAAAAATTAAAACAAGGGCAATAATGTCAACATTTTTAAAAAATGTGGGCTTTATGTAGAAAAACGCGGGCGATGTTTAACAAATCCCAATAGAAGCCTTGGAGCCCTGCGTGACTGCGTCTAATTTTATTTCATTTTATTTATTTATTTTTTTTTCGTTTCACCCTTTGAGCTAATTCAGATTCGGAGATCATGTTCTGGTGATTAGATTCCAGTCCCTGAGTCCCCTCTTAAATGTTGTTGTGGGGATCTAACACGGTTCCCCCCATCAAGCGTAGTATCAATCACCTCTACACTAACATCCAATTGGTGCGTGACTGCGTCTAATAAATAAATAGGGCGAGTCTTTATATGATCGTCTAATTATGAAGAGTATTACCTCCGTTAATTATTATGTGCAACTTTTACAATTTTTGTCCGCTAAACGTTATATGCAACTAAAAAATTTATTTCCTCTTTAGTAAAAAAAAAAAAAAAAAAACACTCAAATGTCAACTTTACCCTCACTTAAAAAATTAAAACACAATTTACTAACAATAATCAAATTTAATTAATCACTAATTCTCACCCAATTTTAACCTCGTTTAAAAAATTAAAACACGATTTACTAACTATAATTAAATTTAATTTCAATTGATTAGAATAAATTATATATAATAAAATGTTGTACGTTTTGAACTACTTCCTTTACTTCAAAAAAAATTATGACATAAAAATAAATTTATATGATGAATTATTTAATTGTTGTCTATGTAACACAATATTTGTTGAAAAGTTGAAATGACAGGTGTTGTTGTGTCGTTGTTTGGCTAAATTTATAATTTACTAGTTTTGTGCCCCGTGCGATGCCCGGGTTGTTTATTGAAGATAAATTTTTAATCTATAAGTCAAATTTTTAAATATATCATTGATACAAAATTAGTTAGGAATTGATGTGCTTTAATGACGATTTGCTATATTTTATCAAAAAAAATTAACAAAATTATAATTCAATTTGTACCTCTAAAATATTGGTATTAAATTAACTTTTTAATCGTCTATTTAAATCCATCCAACGTAGCGCGACACTTGGTGAAAAGTTGAAACGCCGAGTGTCGCTGTCTTGTCGCTTGACTAAAAGTTTAGCTTTATCGGATTGTTCTTTAAATTATAATGTAATAATTTTTTTGAATAAAATTATAATTCAATTTGTATATGTATTTTATCGAAAATAAAACTCTAACCCAACAATTTTATCCTAAAATTCTATTCAAATAGAATTCTAAACTAACTTTTTTTTTTATCTTATGAAGTCTATTTAAATCTATCAAACGTAGCGTAACACTTGGCGAAAAGATGGAACGCCAAGTGTCGCAGCCTCGTGACCTGGCTAAAAGTTTAGATTTATATATTAGTTACTAGTTTTGTGCCCGTGCGATGCTCGGGTTGTTTATGGAATTTTAAGATAAAATTATATTATAATTCAATTTAATTGATCCAAAATAGAATTCTAAATTAACTTTTTTTTTCTACAAAGTCTATCTATATTTATGCAACGTGGTGCGACTCTTAATGAAAAGTTAAAATGCTATACATTATTTGGTATTTTATCGAAAATAAAACTCTAAACTAACCATCTTATTCTAAATTCTATCCTAATTTGATTGAAAAAAGAATTTTTAACTAACTTTTTTATCTTATTAATCTATTTAAATCTATCCAAAGTGACGCGACACTTGGCGAAAAGTTAGAATGCCAAGTGTCACTATTTTGTGACCTGACTAAAAGTTTAGCTTTATATATTAGTTATATGATTTTTGTAAATAATGGTATTTTATTGGAAATAAAACTCTAAAGCAACATTTTTATCCGGTAAGTCTTTCCAAAGTTTATTGAAAATAAAATTCTAAGGGCTTGTTTGGCATCATTTTTGGTTTTCAGTTTTCTGTTTATTTAAAAACTAATAACCAAAAACAAGAAACAAGAAAAAGGTGTTTTCACTTTTCTGTTGTCAGCTTTCAAAATTATCATGATTTTAATAAGTCTAAATGATTTTTGATTCATAATGTGACATATATAATATACTTTTAGAAAACAAAAAAATAAAAAACAGAAACCACAATGATGCCAAACGAACCCTAAACTTAGATTTTTTATCTAAAAAGTTATAACTCAGTGTTGTTGTCTTGTGAGCGGATTAAAAATTTATATATATATATATAGCTAAAATTTTAGCCGGGCGACGAGGCAGCGACACTTGGCGTTCGAACTTTTCGTTTAGAATTTTATTTTCAATCAAATTTGGATAGAATTTTAGGATAAAATTGTTAATTTAGAATTTTATTTTTTATAAAGTACCAATGTTTCATATGTACAAATTGAATTATAATTTTATATTCAAAAAATAATTAGATTATAACTCTCATGAATTATCATATAAATTTATTTTTTGTATCATAATATTTTTTTTGGAGCGAAGGAATTAGTTCAAAATGTACCACATCCATTGTTTATAATATATTCTAATCAATTAAAATAATATACTTCACAATCTAATATAATTTTATTACTGTGTGTAGACCTGTCAATCAGTCGGGTCACGAGTCATTTCAAACAGGGTCATTATTTCAGGTTACGGGTCAAGAAATGTATTTCACCAATATTATTATTATTAGTCATTACACGTCTACAAGTTTAAATCGTCACAAAAACACATCAATTCCTAACTCATTTTGTATCAATAATATGTTTTAAAATACCCCGGGCATCGCACGAGGCACAAAACTAGTATATATATATATATATATATATATATATATATATATATATATATATATATATATATATATATATATAATTTATGTGCCCCTTATTATTTTAATTTTATCATTTAAAAAATAAAAGAAAATAATTTGATCATAAGAGAAGATATATTCACAAATTTATGTCAGGAAAAAACTTGAATTTACCCTACACAATTTCACATTATATCGGATGATTGAACGTAGCATAACACACCATTCAGATCTCGGATCAAAGAAATCTCTACCTAAATTGGACTGAAATTCACAACTGGCCCAAACCTTTAGCCCCTAAAAATGACAACCAACATATGATAACTGACAAGTCCACGAAGTTTCCCAGTTTTTTTCCAGAACAAAACAAACCAAAAAATTAAAATTAAAAATAAATAAAATCTCAAAATTATTAATTTTATCACGAGAAAAAAAAAAAAAAAAGATAATTTGTTATTCAACAAAAATTTGTCTCCTCTATATCCTCATATTCCACCCCACCATCTTCTCTCCTCTCCTCTCGTTTTCAATTCTCAGATCGGATCAAGCATTTCATCAAACACCCTCCGATCATCTCATTAACCATGTCAACCGCTGTCTTTAACGGCGATGAAACGGCGCCGTTCTTCGGCTTTCTCGGTGCCGCTGCTGCCCTAGTTTTCTCCTGTAAGCAATCTCAGATTCAATTTCTGTTAATTTTTTGATCTGGGTTGGTGGTGTATCAATTATATTCATCTTTGATTACACAAAGTTTTAATTTTTTTGATCTGGGTATTTGGTATTTCAATTTAATTTACCTTTGATTGTATAAAGTTTCAATTTTTTTGATTTGGGTATTTGAATTTGTTGAATTGAAGGTATGGGAGCAGCTTATGGGACAGCAAAGAGTGGGGTGGGAGTAGCATCAATGGGAGTAATGAGGCCTGAACTCGTGATGAAGTCAATTGTTCCAGTTGTTATGGCTGGAGTGTTGGGTATTTATGGGTTGATTATTGCTGTTATTATTAGTACTGGAATTAACCCTAAAGCTAAATCATACTACCTTTTTGATGGTTATGCTCATCTTTCATCTGGTCTTGCTTGTGGTCTTGCTGGTTTGTCTGCTGGTATGGCTATTGGTATCGTTGGTGATGCTGGTGTTAGGTAATTTTTACTTTTATCTCCTTTGATCGTTTTGATTTGACTTTCTGCTTGTTAATATGGATTTGTGATTTGATTTGACTTGAGTTTTTTTGTTGTTTTTGTTGATGATTATCTTGAAGAATGTTTTGATGATTCAATGTTTTTATGCTTTTGACTTATTTTGTGGAATTTTTGGTTCCTTTGATTGATGTGATTGGACTTGCTGAATGTGGATTAGCCTGGACGTATGATTAGAAAATTGTGATGATTGCTAGAGCCTAGAACTAATGGTTCTTTGTATGTTTGCCTCATCATGTTGGTTTCAACTTTTGACCACTTTGTAGCATCGAAGAAATTTTGATTTGGGCTCGTTTTTAATGTCTTCTTGATAGGATTTAGCATTCTTAATAGTGCTCAATTTATTTGGAGTATTACTGTTTTCAATTATTAGCTTCATTGTCAATTTGTTTGTTTGAGTCATCAGTTGGCAAGTGCCCAATTTAGGGCAAGTTTGCCTGCATCTTGACTTCCTATTAAGGTATTGGTTATATCTTTCCTATTTACCTGTTTGGGAATCAATAGTAAATGTGGTTTATGTTATTCAAAACATTGGTCGTGAGGTGATTAGATCTTGATTCTCAGCGATGTGGTTCTATTGATATGTCTGTAGTTGGATGATCTAATATATTTAGTGTGTACATCATTTTCTGTGTAACAATCCATACATGTTGCTTGTGAGTAGGTTCAATAAACTCTGTTCAAAACCCCTTTTCTAGTTGCAATGAAGGGGGTATAATAAGGTTAGGAGTCTTTTACACTACTAACATACATTAGGCACTAGGCAGTAGCCGGTAGTGGTAGTTTTTCTGGAAGTGGGTTCTGACTTCAGAGGCTCTTTTTTTTTTCTTTTTTCTTTTTTTTTTGAGATTATATGGTAGCCTACTAATCATGCCAAATATATATAGAATTGGGTTCAAAACTGGAAAAACACTTCATCCCCCATCCCTGTCTGTCCTGGAAATAAAGTTTATTTATCACATTAGAATCTCAAATGGTTTCTTGGGTCATTATGAAGCTTTTATAAGTCATAAACAGTATGCTTCTATCTATGCTTTGAAATGTTTATACACTAATATTAGCTTGTATTGAAAGTTTCTTAGTTCATGAGTTGGCAATTATCGCAACCCTTCAAGCCAATTTCTGCTGTACAAAATCCTTGAAAGTTTGATAAGGAAGCATGTTAAATCACACGGACTCAATCTGTAGCCAAAAGTTTACCTCTGTTTTATGTATTTTATTGTTCTCTCTTAAATCTACACTGAGGCTTGCATGTTTGCCAACACATAACTTTGACCACCAATGTCTTTAATTATCAATAAGTAAATATTATAAGAAAGTGAAAATTGAAAGTATATAGTGTGATAAATATATCAAGAACCCACAGGATTATGTTTTTCCTTTTATATAAATCACCAACGATGGTCAAAATAGAGTTTGTTATATAATTGCTAAAGTACTAGTGTGTAGATATTAAAAAATGAAAGGTGTATCAGTTTAGACTTTAGACTGTTAATTGGATTAGTTACTATTGTCCTATCTTAGGGGTGAGTGTTTGAGAAAATATAGCTGATTCGCCTAAATTGTTTGGGCAACAAGACTTGTGCTTGATCTGAATAATTCAACCCCCACCCCCACCCCAACACACACAATTCCCCCCATTCTGAAATTTCATGCTTTTGTGATGAGGAATCTGATTCAATTGGAGATGTTTTCATGTAAAACATTGTCAGTTACTCAATTGTAATCAAATTTTCTTTTGATTATTTGATAAACTTCCACATTAATTGGGAATGGGAAAATTTGGAGAATTAAGAGGACAAATGGAATTCTAGCAAATTTGAGCTGCAGTGAAGCACTGTGCATAATTCATTAATGCAGGTTTAGTATTCTAGCAGCCTTCTTATTACCTTTTGGTAGAAAGGTCTGTAGCTATAGAGGTAATTTTCTTGTCTAGTGTATTTTATGTGATAATCATGTCTTCCGCTTACTCTCATATCTAAGTAGATGGCATATTTTTCGTACACCGTTACTAATGCATTCTTTTGCCATATGCATAATACAACTGCAAGTTAGAGTATATGAAGTATTTTTTTTTCCTTCCTGTACACCATCTCTTCTTTTCCTCAAGATAGAGAAGGGGTCTGTTTGGGTGAGTCACATGAGTGACCGGCCTTGCTTTTTCTCTGTTCCGCTGCCTGCAACAGTCTTTATAATGAGTGCCCATAATACTTTTGTGGGTTTGTGGCACTAAATTTTGCTTATTGTAGGCACTAATACATCTTATTCCTTTTATGTTGGACAGAGCCAATGCACAGCAACCCAAGCTTTTCGTCGGAATGATTCTTATCCTCATTTTTGCTGAAGCACTTGCTCTATACGGTCTCATTGTCGGCATCATCTTGTCATCTCGTGCTGGACAGTCAAGAGCAGATTAAAGTACAGTACTGAACTTTTGATCAGTTATGTTGTAGTGTTGAACACGGATTGAAACAACATTTATGCCCTTTCTCCTTGCTTTCCTCTTCCATTTTTCCCCTCTGGTGAAGGGCAGAGATATCCAGGTTTATAATTGTTATAACTTATTAGGTTACATGTGGTGAAACTCTGGTTTACATTATGGTGGAAGACATTGATCTACCGTATTCATTTTATACTCTGCTGCTATTTTGTAGGCTCTTGCGGAATAAAAATTGCTTGCAAAGTTATTTTTCTTTCAATCTTTTTATTGTATGTATTTTGCCTCATGTTTTATTGAATATTTATGATATCCTTGGCTTTTGAATGTGGAATAAACGACTTGGTTGTAAAAGTATTTTTGTATGTGTTGGCCTCCTGTTATATATTTCTTGATTTTCTTCTGCTTCAAAATATACTGTTGTGTTCTTCATGATTGTGTGACTGAGGCATTAGAATTTACAGCACTAAATTAACTCCCTTGTTTAGTAAGAAAACACTCTGAAAACTACCACCCGTCTCTATTCAGAGATATTCTGGATCTGGGAGGTCGAATGAGACATCCGTGATGCAATTCAGGCTTTCATTCATGTACATGGATGGAGGGGAAAAAATATGATTAGGGAATTACGGAGTATATGCATAAAGAGAAGCACCCGCGATCTCTCATCTCTTCTTTGCAAGTAACGCCCTCTTCTACTTCAAAGCCTTTCCCTTGTTATGCCTTCTCATATTAATTCGATCTTTATGCTCCCATCTTTACAACTATCATCCTTGCTCGCAAAAAAAATTCTTGGGCGTCTGCTTTAGACAAACGGTTAGTTACAGGAAAAATTGTGATAAGCTAGATACTCGTAAGTCATAAGAATGATGAGTTCAACCTCGGAAATGCGTTTCAGCTCAACACAGCTCTTTTAATCAACCAAGCTGGAAGAGTAAACCATAAACCATGTCAACTTTCAAGTCGAATTTACAGAGCTAAATACTCAAAAGACCATCTCTCGTTAGTCGTTACTTCATTAGGAACTTTATCCTCACACCTTCGAAATGCATCATGGATAACACGGAGCATTGTGAAGTATGCAGCAAAAGACCATCATTAATTGGCATTTAATTTTTATGGAGTACAAATTACAAATAAATTTCATTATCATACTTTTATTTTTTTGTTTATAACGTGTAATTTGTCTTTTTCCACAGTTTCCAATATACATACATTAATTTTTTTACAAAAGTCGATATTTTACAAGGTAATTATATACGAGTATATAAGCCTTAAGCATTAAATCTAATATATATATATATAGAGGGGAGTTTTTTCCCGAGTTTTTAGAGAGCCACGTAGGATTTAATTTTCTTAGCGCGCCACGAAAGATTATAAATTTTTGTTGTAGCCAATAAAATTAGAAATTATTAATTTGTTTTAGAATTAAATAATTAAAATGCCACGTGCGCAAAATTGGCGAATGAAATTTTTAAGTTTTAATTAATTAAATATTATATATTATCTTTTAATATTAGGAATTTTATCTAAATATATAACAAATTTTAGCATATTAATACAAAAAAAAAAAAAAAAAATAAATAAAAAAAATTATTTTTAAAAAATCAAACAAACTGTGCATTGCACGGGCTTCATCTAGTATACTTTCTAAAATATAATTAAGTTAGAAATTCAGGACAAAAATCACGCATAGGTTTAATGTTAATTTATCCTCAACATTTTTTTTAGCTTCTTATATGTTTATCACTTCCCTATTATATGATTTACATCTAGATTAATACAAATTCTAAAATGAATCTGGTTCACACTAATTTATTGTGGACCACTAATATTAGACAAACTATGATTGTTTTTGTTTTATTAATAAAAAAAAAAGGTCACTATAATTAAAATAAGGTCACTATGTTGAAATAAAAGTCACTATTTTGAAATAAAAGTCATTATGTTAAAAACCTTCCTCTCCTTTCCAAATTCTTATTTTCTCCCCCAATAGTGTCTTGTTTGACTAATAGAATAAATAAACAAATAAATATAGTATGAAAAAAAAAACTACTTAAGATTAAGAAACTTAACAAAAACAAATCCTAAGGTTCCTAAACACGTTACAAATTACAATACCATGTGTTTGATACAAATAATAAAGAACTTGTCCCAAATTAATGAACAACATGATGCTCTATACCACAAAAAAAAAAAAAAAAAAAAAAAAAAAAGGCCATAAAGACCAAACCAATCGATTACTGGTACGATATGTATGTACGTATAAAGTTGTTGGACGAATTTTATACTTCCCCCGTTCTGTTAATATTGTAACAAGCAGGAAATTGCGCATCCCAAAACACATTTTATATGCTAAATATCTATAATTGCGTAAGAGTAAAAATTGTAAAAAGTTGATATTGTGAAAGTATTAAATGAGACGAATCCAACAAGATCCCACTTGACTATATTTTGCTTAACGTATAACTCATATTATATGGTCAAACAAGAGTGATGAATAGTGCAAAAAGTCCATTGTTGCAATATTAATAGAACGGAGGAAGTATTGTGCATTTATGTGTGATTTAAGTCTCATATACGCACTAATTTATAACGTTTTTTATTTGCTCAATCTATTAGTATTTAATTTCTAGAACGTTATCTAACTAATTAAAAGAAATAAAAAACTAATGTTGACGCATAACAAGATGGTATGTAATATGTATAGATAACTTTAAGCTAAACTTTAAAGATATGAAGTTTTTTTTTTTTTACCTAATTTTACAGAGTATTACTCCCTATTATTTTACTTGTGAAATTTGCTTTTGCCTTCATAAAAGCTAATCTCTTTTTAAAAAGCTTGTTTACATAATATGCTATGATTAACATGAATCGGAATACATACTGTATTAGAATTCGGTCAGCTAATGAAGCGCAAAGGCAATAATGAGGTCAATGATAAAAAGAAAAAGGAAAGACATTAAAAAACAAAATCTCCTAATTAAAAGGGAGGATTGATCTAATCAGAATCCCATGATTGGCAGTGGGTTAATCAGGAATCTTCAGAATCCAACTTTTATTTATTTTTTTTAAAAAAAAAAATGAGAAAAGAGAAAAAGTCGCATCGCCCCCTATAAGTAGAGTAGAATCTTGCAGATGAAAGGACCAAAAAGTCCACCCAAATTGAAGGTGAGTCATTTCATTATTAGTGATATGTTTGGTTTTGTACACATCCCAAACTCCCTGTTAGACAACTAAATTCAATATAAGCGCACATCCAAATACGACCTAATTTCCTCCATTTCACTATTGGATACTGCCACGACATCACTTTTATCTATGTTCCTACCTTGGAGGGATTTTAAAGGGATGAATGTTATATGTGTAGAGTTGCACAACAAAGAACATTTATGTAATTGCACATATGTACATACGAATGCATATTTTGGTATCATTAGATGATCAAATAATATCACTGAACATACGGTTATACTATATATGTATTCAGTTGTGCTAAATTTATGCATAATTAGTATCACTTTAGTTTCAATTGTACTATATAAGATTTCAGTAGAACAATCAACATGTAATCCCCCATCACGTGAGACAATCTAACTAAAAAAATAGGTGGGGTCTACATAAAGACCTTTCTCTTTCTATCTTTCTCCTCTTTTCTCTCTTTGTTTTTAGAATACTACCTCCGGGCTCCGGATCATATTATATGCAAATTTGAGGTATTATTTGTCAGATATAAAAAAAATTCCAAAGTAGAATATTATACGATCCGGAGGTAGTATTTTAATCATTGTTATGTATTTACAAATACATAACATTACTCCATTATAACTTTTCCCCTCTAAACAATTGAATAATTTACCACGAGTACTCTGTAATTACTTGAACTTCTATTTATTTTTACCATTTTTTTTTGTTATTACGTTTAAAAATATTCTAATACGACAACACAAATTCTTATATGTGACTGGACATATTGTCTGGTATGCCAACATGAATATGAGTTGTTAGTATTATACGGAGTATTTTTATTGTTTTACGTCAGTGTTACAAGGTTACTTTGTCAATATTACAGGGGTTATCCGGTTAGGGTTTTAGGGGTTATTCAGTCAGTATTACAGGGGTTACTCATTAAGTCATTAGTATTACAAGCAGTCATATAATATAGTCCGTCGTACACAAAACGCGTTGATTTAAATTAAAAAAAAATACAATGAGGCAAAAAGATAGAGACATGAGTGTAAGTGTTTTTTTTTTTTTGAGTAAGAAAAAAGAAAATATTAGAAAACTCTCTTCGCGAGGAGAATTCCTAATACATCGTGTTTGTTTTATTGCTATATTATCACTAACAAGAAGATCTTCGTGTTGGAAATAGTATAGTGCACCATCACCATGCACATGGTGCACCCATAAAGAACATTAGACATATTTTAAAGAACATGACAAAAAAAAAAAAAAGAACATGCTAGTGTTTGTAAAAGAACATACATGTGTTTGACAAAATAACATGTGTGCGTTTGACAAAAACATAACATTATAAACAACATAAAGTCTTTACAAAAAGTAATCCGTGGTTTATACACACGGGTGTACAGTGCTCATCATACACCCGGATAAATAAAAAAAGGCGGAAAGAATATCCTGTGTTTCATAAAGAACATACATGTATTTAATAAAGAACATGTTTGTATTTGACAAAAACATGCATTACCAAAGAACATAAAGATATAATTAAAAGAACGAGATAAAAACTTAATTAAATTTTCTGAAAAATTACACATTATTAACGGAAAAAATTTAGAGGTGATAAAAAATCTAGTAGGGCCGGGCCATATCATAATTTATCGTGCCCAAACCCGTAGAAAAGTAGCGGGTTTTCGGGCTTTTTTCTAACCCGATTTGAGTTTTAACTAAAAATGCATTTTTTAGGTTTGCCCAAACCCACCCTATTTCGGGCCGGATCGGGTCGGGATGCGAGTCATGCCAATGTTGATCACCTCTTAAAAAATCCTTACCAAAGATATCATTTTTCCAAAAAATAGTTTTCTATCTTTCCAAAAAAAATTCAACTTCCCTTAATAATTTAGTTTATTTTTTACTCTAATATTATTTTCAATTAAAAATAATTTAAGATTCAATATCAAATTTCAAAATACCATATGTTAAAAGAACATAATTTATATTGTAAAGTACATATAGTTAATACCTAAATAACACACTAATCAAACTCAAAGAATGTACGATAATAAAAGTAATTTAAATATGACATATGATAATAAAAATAGAATTTGGGCGTCACTACGACCTTAAAGAACATACACGCCAAATTCAAAGAACATACTTTGTATTATTAAACCCAAAAAAACAT